ACATTCTCTGATGGTTATGTTTTTGTTCCGCCCCTCCGGGATTTTGGCAAGTACAAGCCCATCTTTCTCGAGGGCGGCACTTCTTTTCTTCTCATGGTGCCTGAAGCGGTCCCGCAATTCCCTCGGGAAAGGGCTCTCGTTTAACCTGACATAGCACCACCGCTCTTTCCAACCTTTGTTCGAGGAGGGCGCCTCGGTGAACAGCCTGAACTGAGTGATCTGCTGCAAGTTGGCAAACGCCTCGGCGTTTGCATGACCCCCCCCGGCACAGGTTGAAGCTTGGGAAAAAATAAATCTAAGCTAGGCGTCACCCCCCGGGATTTGCACAGGTGAAGGAACCCAGTAATGTACGAGTGGCTATTGGGTGTTAGTTGACAAGGGACCAGGCCCACATACCTGAGATATTCCCGAAGGAACGGGTGCAGTGGAAACCGGAGGCCCATAGACACCGACAAGATGTGAACCGCGATACACCCCTTGGGAGCGCGGGAGAGAACGTCATCAGGCCCCGGTGGCACCACGGTAGCCGAGGGCCCAACGTATAGCTGGGTGACATAGTAGTCTGCTCCATCAGCCTTCGACTTTATCTCGAGGGCGGCGGTGTTGAGGTAGGCGTAACCCTCGGGCATATCGACGGGCTTCCCTTAGTCAGCGACGCTGCCCTTCTTCTTGGGAGCGGTAGCCTTCGCCTTTTTCTTCCCGGGGGCCACCCGGAGAGGTTCCGGGTTCAACGGTCGAGAGGTCCTAGCTTCAGCGGCATCGCGGGGGGGGGGGGGGGGGGGGGAGAATGGCGATAGTCACCTTCATCCTCTCTTTCTCCTCTTCCTCCTCCGCAGTCTGCACAGCGAGGGCGAGCTCCTCGTCCTCCATCACCTGCTCAAAGTCCTCGGCTTCGGCTTCGGTGACGAGGGCCTTCTGCATCTCCACAGCCACAGCAGCATCGTCACCAATCGAAGGCTCGCTCATGGATTCCACATCGGAAACCATTTCATCCTCAACCGAAGGTTCCCTCGAGATGTCATGAGAATCGCTCTGGGACGACATCTTGGTACGCTACAAGGACAGTACTCTACACCAAGGGTTGCCTACGGAATTCTAACTCCTAATCTAAGGACACAGGGCACAGCTAACTAAGAGAGGAGAAGAGCAGGTGGGAACTGACCTTGGAACGAGAATTAGATCGAGGGCAGGTGTTTCTCTCTCTAGAAAAAATCCGACAGAGCTTCGCTACACTGGAATCGCACAAGGGGAAGTGGCCTGGCCTTGGGGTATTTATAGGCGCCCAAATCCGGGCTTGGGCCTGAAAACCGGGCCTCCGGTACAAAGTCATCATTACCAACCGACGAGTTGCCCAATCGGTGACGCCCGCCCACGGGCGGCCAACGAACGCGCGCCACGTGGAAGCCCCCCCCAACGGCTATATTTTCGACGTTAGGTATTCCAACGGCTATATTTACAAACGGCTATATTCTGGGAGCTCCCGGCTATATTCAGCAGACCACTCCTTCATCAATCAAGAAACTAGCCCCCGGGCTTTTTACTTCACTCTACTTCATCAAGAGGAGCCCCCGGGTACACTTACCCAGAGATGCTCCCGGTTCATGCCCCTCATACAACATCACAAAGGCCTTCGGGCTTACTCCTTCAGAAGCCCACGGCTTCATAACGGGAACACCCCTTGGGAACCATCGGCCCTCAAACACATTGAGGACCACGAAGCCCCCGGGGGAGCACGCCTTCATCAAAAGGTGCCCCCACTCACAAACAGGCAAGGGACCCCTCGGCAACACAGGAAATATCACCCACATTCATCAACCCCTCATTCTCATAATTTGGGGGCTCCCCCCTCGGCATCTCTCAGGATAACAACAGGAACCCTCCGGGAAATCAGCACACGCACCTTCAGACAGAGATAGCCTTCGGCACAAAAATGGCCACTCATTTCAGGCCAGGGTTTTACCTTTTCGACTCATCATTGGGGGAATTCGGTGCACTCTTTTTCCCTCATTGGAATTTTTTCCCACGGGGTTTTTCCAATGAGGTTTTTAACGAGGCATCCCCCCAAAATGAAATGAAAAGCGTCACCCCTCGGCAGGCACTACTCTACTCCTTTTCACCACTTTGCAAATGCCTCAAGGAGTGGGGGACTGGAGGACCCCTCCGGGAAAATCTCTCTCAAAATACAAAAAACGTCAAAAACTCCCACAAACAAAGAGCATGATCCCTCAAGTCCCAGAATGTGGGTAACTGAGGGACTGCCCCCGGCTGAAACATGCACACAACAAACTACTCACAAACTCCACAAACTACAAACGGAACAACACCAAAAGGTCAAACACAGATTACTCATTTTCCCTCAAGTACCTTTCGGCAGAAGGAGTGAGGGACTCCTGATGGAGTATATGGCCCAGGAACCCCCGGCCCATAGACTCCTACTATTCTAATGGAGGCCCAATAAGTCCAGGAAGCACAGCAGGCCCAAATCACGGCGCCCCAAGTACAAAGCAACCCACGTGGCGCACTAGGGGTGCCTTCGGCCCCCTGGCCGAAAGCTCCAATTATCACAAGATGGCCAAACCAAGAAAACAAAGTTACTGGGAGAAAACGGCGAAAAGCAGTAGCCCTCGGCACCTAGAGCCCTCGGCACTAAGGAAGATCCCCGGTACTCAAAGCCCTCGGCTAATCACTTGCAGCCGAGGGCACCTTTCCCGACATAATATCCGCTCCACATGCGCCTGGATCACCGTACCAAGTACGACGTCACATCCAACAGCCGCATTAAATGCGGCCACATGCGATTGCCAGCGCCAACCAGTTGAGGTGACCCCTCGGCCAATGGATGCTTGACACGTGTCCCTATCTGGCATTTGTTACTACTATAAATAACACCCTATTTCCCCATTTGTAACCAAGAAGCAAATACGCTGAATACATTTCTAATATACTCTCTCTCTCTACTTACTTGCTCTGACTTCTCTCTAGTTATTCCCCGTAATAACCCCTCAGATAAGCTACCCTCCCGGGTACACTATCCATCAATTACTGTTTGATAACCTTTATTTTCAGCTTATCGACAGTTTTCCTAATAAACATGTAATTTCAGATTTCACGTGCTGGATTTTGAAATAAAAAAATAAGGTAGAAGTTATTTATTTTGTTGAATTGGATGAAGTTGTTGCAGAAGATCATTTCAGCTGATTTTTCATGTAATTTTTTCTTAGTTTTATTCATAAGATATATTGTAAATAAAAAATTCACAATTCAGTAGATTCAGCCAATTAGATTATTCTAACTTTAATTTCATAAATTTCAACCAATTCAACCTATAAAGTCAATTTTTGTTAAAGTATTTGTCTCACACCGATAAGTTATAAAACAATAAAAATACTATACGTAGTATAACACTTTAATTTCGGCTACTGTTTCTATCAGAGCCAGGTTCAGTTATGGTTTGACTGTTTATTTAGTACTCATGATTAAAGGTAGCTTGTTAAATGTTTATTTGATCTATTTACGATGAAACTCAGAGGTTTAACGGGACAATTGCTAAATGGGTTATCAATATCCGACTAATGTTACTACAGCGGAATTTTCTGACCATTTTTAATCAGAAATGAGAAATCCGTCCTAATTAGTTAATATACGAGTATAAACTATAAAAGACGTGTAAGATATGATACTTCCTTGTAGAGACTTGATATGCATATTTTAATGTAATCGATGATTGAATCTCAAAATTTATGACTCTCGTCTCAACCACCCAAGTGAGACACGCCCCTACCCTACCAATTAGTTTTATATAACACGTATCCTTCTACATGTTCTATTTATTAAGCATTTCGGTTCATACAATTGTTTGGTCATTTGAAGAAAAATGACTCATATGATTATACGAACCATTTATCATATCGAGGATGATGAAAGAAAATGGAAATATTAAACGTGAAGAAAAGACATAGGTTTAAATTTAACGTGAGTTACCAACATTGTGTTATAACATTCGGCAGGAGAATAATTATTTTGTTTAGGAGACCAAATTTACAGAGTTTTCAGACACGAAGAATAATAAAGTAAAAACTGTGTGGTTGAGTTTTGTGCAGAAACCACAAAATAATTGATTAAAAGAGAAAGTGGCAAAGTTTTTTGGGACGTCCCAAAAAGGAAAGATGACAAAGTTTTAAGGGACGGAGGGAGTATATAATTATATATAACATGAGGGGTAATTAGTTAGGCAAGACAAAACGGTCAATTTGATTCTTGTACTCTCACGAAAAAGTCAATTAAATCATTGTACTTTTAAAAAATCAATTAAATCTCTGAATTTTGTGGAAACGTTCAATTAAGTCCTTTACCAGATTACCCGTCCTTCAGCAACTCACTTGCTTACGTGGCACACATGTGACAGCCAAGTCATCAGTGACTTTGCTAACGTGGCGCACAAATGGAAGCCAAATGAGCCATTTACTAATGATGTGGTGCACACATGGACAATAACTTGTACGCCACGTCAATGGGTGACCTGCTGACATGGTAGATAACCTGCTAATTGACTCAATTGAACGTTTTTTTTGTGTTCGAGGATTTGATTGATCTCTTTTAAAGTATGAGGATCTAATTATTTTTTCAGTGATCGTAAATTGATCAAATGTGACAGTTTTCTCTTGTATTAATAACTGAATATTTGATGGGTGCATTTGAAAGTAAAATACCCGTATAAATGTACGGACTATATAACATTTGTGAAAATGTATTAAAGAGTGGCTAGTGGCAACAAACAATGATATGAAAATGATTGTTGAGAGAGATTTAAAGGGTCGGTTTGAAAGTGAAAATCAGACCATTTGGAGACGCTATTAATGTAAACACTCTTAAAGAGTTAAATCTGTAATATATTTTGTTTATTAATTTTTTTCATTGAAATTGATTTCAGTTTCATTTATATTAAATTAGTTTCCAACAGATAATACAGGTATCTCTTATCAGACCGGATTTATTAGAGTATAAGAGTAGCTCCAATGGTTCATTTGAGGACTTACTTGCAATTTTAAAGTTAATAGCTTATCTATCGGAGCATCGCTTTTCCTTTTGCTTGAGAAAGCTAATTAGCCAAAATGATCTACTAGCTTGAGAAAAGAGAATTACTAAATATAGTACTATTAATAATAAATGAAGAGAAAGACGTTATTTTTTTTACGTCAGCTAGCCTTCTTTCATATCATAAGTTTCAGGAAAAACAAAACTGATACTAACTAAATCTAACACCTACGACTGTAAACCCTATGATCAGACTTAGGGACGGTCACCCCTGAAAGAGCAACGCGAATCGCTAACCATGTAGCGGGATTGACACATTCATCCATGTTCCCATAGATCCAAACATACTCAATGACATAAAAAAGACTGAATTGCCAAACAAATTGACAAACCTAATAACATAGACGATAACAAGAAGCCAAATGACAGAATAAAAATAATTAATAGGAAAACTTCCACGGACTCTAGCTAGCACCTCATACAACTCATGGCGGTGATTCAGGAGGAGGCTGTATCCTTAGTACCACTCTAATTGATGCTCCATTATAGCTAACCGTTGGAGTACATTTTAATTTTACTACAAATGCTTATGTGGTTAGTTAAGCTAGGAAGGTAATTTACTAACCGCTTGAGATAGATGCTCTAATAATAAAATATTAGCAGTTAGCTAGATCACTAAACAAATCAGAATACACCAGATTTAAATAACTTATAATAGAAATATGGAGTACAATATAAGTATAGACCTCGTTTGTTTATAATGATTTGTACAATAAAATGCGTGGTTGGGGTTCTTCAATTGGAGAGAAATGGTTCTAGTTGTTGAATTGAACATTATACATAAATATACAAACAAGTTTTAGTAACATACGAAGTAACATGCAAACACTTTCAACAATTCCTATTTTTAGTAAATGGTAATTTTATAAAAACAATACCAAACTTGCTAATAAAATCAAAGTCCATGTATGTACGATATGAAACAGTGCTTAAATTGTCATTTTAATTCATTTTCAGCAGTGCTTGGTTCGGATTATTTTCAATCTAAAATTGATAATAAGGCTGAGTGCATCCCTATTTGTGGAATTGTTTGAAAATTAATTGGTGACATGGAAGATTATAATGTTTGTAGAATGATAGCACTTGTAGAGTAAAATATGAATATCATTATTTGTGAAAATAGTGACGAGAATCTGTCAAACCAACTTCATTTTTGATTGAAAATAAAATTTATGATTCATTTTCTTATATTCATTAGAAATACTCCTATAATTAATTAAAATGGAGGATATGATGTGAATGGCTTTAAAAGGTTTCAGATTCAACGATCTGAAATGTGAAATGATTATTTCGCAGGGAGAAGCTAGGATGAATCACTCCCGTATTAATGGAGGATGATTCGCGTAAATGCACTCTTAAATGCCCATATCCTATGCCCATGCTATTATTCTAACCACAGATATATATCTTTCTCAGCTTTAGTAAATACATACCATTACGTACTCCCACCCTCTTGATTAACTCTGTTAAGTTAAAAAAATTACCAAGTACGGAGTAGTTTTTAAGATAATCGATGCATTACTTTTAAATGATTTGACTTAGACAAAGTACTCCGTAATACATTACGCAATTGAGGAATAATCAGCACAAACCTTTGAACTAGCTAGAATTAGGAGTTGTTTACGGTGAACAATGTCTTTGGGTTGTTTACTTGTTTACGGTGAACTCTGTTAAGTAGTATATGGATATAAAGTTGTTTACTTTCTGCGTTGGATAGACGACCTGAATTGAGTAAAATAATCAATTTAGTATTCCGTATTATTCTTGAGTTGTAAAACCAATAAGATATTTCGTTTATTAACATAAACATACTAGTATTTTATAGAGAAAAGTGTCAAATAGGTCCACCTACTTTAGGCGAAAAGTCAATTGAGTCCATCTACTAATTTTTCAACCAATTGAGTCCACATTGTTTAAAAGAAGAGTCAAATTTGCCTTTTAGCCGGTAGCACGCAGGTTAGCCCGTTTCCCGCTTATGTGGCATCTGACGTGGAAGATGAATAAAAATTATTAAAAAAAACTGTCTCCTCGTCAGCCTTACAAACGAAATGAGTGAAGTTCATCTGCGACTATTTTGGAAAGAACCCTAGCCATTTAGTTCTTATCTTCTTATCTCCGGAACGAAAATGGCTGTTGCATCATCATCGACTTCCAGTACGAGAAGTGGACGGAACTTCACTCTCGATTACGAGCCACCAGTGTATTGCTTCTGTGGACTGAAAGCTCCCCTTTGTATTTCGAGACAGAGTGGGAGTAAGTTCTATGGGTGTAAAAAATGGAAGGTAATTGTTAAGTTTAATTAATTTTCAATATGGGTGTATAAGCTGATAGTAAGTGTTATTATGATGCATTTGGTTAACACTGAATAGGTTCATGGGTGTGGTTATTTTGCCTGGGCGGATAGTATGGAAAGCAGAGGGGTGGCCAACGTTGCAGGGATGAATGAAAATGCAGATGATTTGATGTTCATGGTTTCAAGAGTTGGTGAACAATTAAGTGCTCTACAAGGCCAAGTGAATGGTGTGAGAAGGGTACTTCAAGCAGATGCAAAGGATACCAAAATGTTTAGGAAACTTTGTGGAATTGATTTGGTTATAGTAGTTGGTTTACTGGGAATGGTTTTTTTTATAAGTCGAGTACTATGTAGTGAGAAACATTGTGTAATAATGCATTGTACTGGGAATGGTTTTTATAAGTTATGTACTAAGTTTACTGGAAAAAGTAGCTGGCTTGTGTACTGGATGCGGTTGAAACATTGTGTATTCTTTTGTGAAACATTAATGCAAGATTATTAATTGATGGACTCCCCTGTTTTTCAAATGGATCTGATGTGTATTCTTTTGTGAAGATGAATGCTGAATATAAATCGATGTGCATATTAAAGAAGATGTAAATAGGGACCATAGAATAATAGACCAGAGAAGCTGTGTACAACAGATTTCAATAACACAAACACAACACTGCAATTAGAAACCATGATTAAAAGGGTTCTATAATGTATACATAAACCAAATACAGCATCCCAACAAAAAACATCATGTCCAGGAATAAAAGAGGAATAAAAGGGTACTGTATTGCCCCACTCCCAACTTTGAATTTGGCCTTACATCCATAAAACAACAAAAAAGCATAAAGGCTACTTTAAAGGTCACAACAACCCACTTTAAAGGACACAAAAAGGACAAGAACACATGGGCTACACACACACTTTTTATCTTCTTCACGCATCCACACACACACTTCATCAGTTCAGCAAAGGCAAAAAATGAGTATCCTTATCATCTTCACGCATCCACACACACACTTCAGCACTTCACTTCATCTCTACCATTTCATGGAGTTCCTCCAACAAGTCTTTCACTTGGCTGTCCTGGCTGCAAACAAGTAAGAAAAAAAGAGTAAGTGCTTCTAAATATGTAATTTCTTTTAAATTTTACAGATCTGGTAGTATTCACTTACATCCACCAATGTTTCACTAGTGCTAGCATCAAAGTAAACCCCAAAACCTGTCTGTCTTCGAGCCCTTTGCCCCCTCCCTCTCCCCCTCCCTCTCAACCTACCCCTCTTCCCATTTCACTTGTTCCATGGCCAACAACTTCACTCTGACTTGCAGAAGCCTCATTTGTTCCTCTTCCTCCCCCCTTGGCCTCCACGCCCTAAATTTTTCCTCCTTCCTCTAGATTGATCATTCACACCCCTGACACAGCTGAATCAGTACCACCTCCTCTCCCTCTCTCTCTCCCTCTCCCTCTCCCTCTCCCTCTCCCTCTCCCTCTAGGTTCCCTAGCTGTGGTGTTGTTTGTACAAGAATATTTGTTGTGACCTTCTACATGACAATTGGAGCATGTCATGATCCTTCCTTTTCTACTCAGTGTTGTACCCGAAGTAGGTTATTCACTTTCCTCTCTTATCCTCTTTTTTTTGGGCCTGCCAGTCATCTTTCTTGGTAAAGGAGGCATGATTTCTTCATGTTCTGTTCTAGGCCATAAGAGCTCTCCATTTATTGGTTGCAAGGTATAAGAATAAGTCTTCTTATATAGCTCTTTGGAGTACCAATTGTGCACATAGTCTTCTGGAAGGTCCCCTTTATCCAATATGGCATAGATGGCATGAGCACAAGGAACACCAGTGAGATCCCATCTTCTGCAAGAGCATGTTCTTCTATTCAGGCTCACCTTGAACCGTTGTCTTCCTTTTTTTATCTCGTAACCATCATCACCATTGAAGTCAACATGCCAACCTTGGCTTGCTAAAACATTCCTATTTAGCTTCTGCATAATCATAGGTCCAAATTTCCCTAGCAAGAAATATATAAGTGAAACAGGTTTACAAGTCATACATGGTACAGAATGATTGAAATTTGGAATTAAAAATTTCATACCAGGCCACCTTTCCACATATTTCCTTTTCTTTGCTATTCTTTTCATCATACCAACTCTGATATCCTCAAGCATGAGAATCAGTGGCTTACTTCTGCATTTCAGTAGGCTGCTATTGAAAGCCTCATATAGGTTGTTATCTACAGTATCACACTTAACTTCAGTTCTAAAATAGGCCTTACACCATAACTTCAATGGGTATTTCCCTAAGTCTTTACCAGCTTCAGCATCCGCCTTGTCTACTTCTGCTAATGCATCCAGCACCTGCTCTTCACATGTGGACTTTGCACACTTCCAAAACAATTTTCTGAACATCATCCCCCTATGTGATTTGCTCCAATTTGCATGTATGTGCCTAGCACAGTTCCTGTGCTCAGCTTCCGGGAAGATATTTGCAATCACATTACACAGACCCTGCATGATATACATGAATGAATCAATGTACTATAGAATCACATTACACAGACCCTGCATGAAAGAAAATAATGAAAGTAGTAGTGTGGGGTAGTAATATCCAGATTGTTAATGACCTTTTGTTGATCACTAATTAGAGTCCATAAGTGTGGGCTAGTAATCTCCAAGTCTGTCTTCAATAGGTCTAGAAACCAGGTCCATGAGGAGTTGTTTTCAATTTCAACAACAGCCCACGCTATGGGGTACATCTGATTATTCCCATCCCTCCCAACTGCAGTTAATATCTCACCCCTTTAGTTGACCTTTCAAGAAGCAACCATCCAACCCTATTACTTTCCTACAACCTTCAAAAAATCATTGTTTGACTGGCCCAAAACACATATAGATGCGTTGAAAAACTGAGGGAGCTTCTGGGACAACTCTGATTGTGTGAATCTTTACAGTTGAGCCTGGAATGGACCTCAAACATTCCTCTGCATAATTCCTTAGTTTTTTAAACTGATCTTTAAAATCCCTTTGTGTTTTTTTCTGTATGTCCCTCAAAGCCCTTGCAGCCATACTACCAGAAACATGAATTTTCAGCTCACTCTTAATAAGTCCCTTCAGCTCTACTGCACCCATGCTTGGATTTTCAAGTACCTTCTCTTCATATTTTTCAGCTATCCATTTCTCACTAACTATTCTTAGCTTGAACCTCAAATTGCATAAATGTGTTGATTCAAGGACCTTAACTTGAAAGCACTTCATCCTAGGTTCCCAACTAGCAGTACAATTATAAGGGCATGTTGGGGCACATTTTATCCTAACTCTATATGTTGTATTTTTCACAAAACGCACATATCTTTTGTGAAACACAGCATACCTTATAATAGCATTCTTGAATTGCCTTGCATCTTCAAAAAGCATTGCCAGCTCAATTACAGGAGGTTCTGACTCAGGGTTATAGGATTTGTGCACCATGTGTGGCCATGTAGACTGATTCTCATCTATTTCTTGATCATAAGTGTAGCTTCCTGGGTTAGAAGAATCATATTCTACAATGTCTTCATCCTCATCATCTATTTCTGGGTCATTATCTTCTGGTCCTTGATGCCTTCTATCTGACCCAGATTGCACATCATCTATTTGTGGTTCATTTTGTTCTGGGGTTTTATTCCTTCTATCTGACCCACCTTGCACATCATTGAAGATGTCTTCCACTTTTGTGTCTTCATCAGATGTCACACCCTGATCACTTGCACAATTTTCTTCTTCTTGTTCATGTTCATCATTTTCTTCCATATTGGCATGGCTTTGTTCCTCTGATGTGCATTCATCAGCCTCAATATGCACTTCATAAAACTCATCAGACTGCCTGTGTGTCTCACTTTGTTTGACATTGGGCTGCATTGATTCTTCTTCGTGGATTTCACCTTGTATATCTCCTTCCACCGCTTTTATAAGGCCCTCACCATTAGGTCCAAGTAAAAGGAGAATCAATTCACACTCATCCAAACCATGCTCTACATATATCTCACACTGCCCATAAGTGGTAGCCATATGTATCAGCTGATTGTGGATGCATCATCAAACAGGGGCTTCAGGTCATCCATAGGATCACTGGGTGCTTTAAAAAACAGTCCTTTAATATTACCATAGCTTCCAGACTTTAAGAACTTCATTAAATGAGGATAACATATCATGTCCGGATCTATTCGGATACAACCCACTTCTCCACCAATGTACATACTTTGAGGCACACTCACAAAGTTCCCACCATGGTCAATTATTAGCTCAACTTTATCAAACATTCTGTAAAAAAGAGAACCCAATGCAAAGAAAACACCACAATAAGGCACAACATCATCATTAATCAATCAACATATACATGTTCATAATCATTCATAAACACCCATTACAATACTCAAATACAGAACCATAATTCAAAAAATCCAAAATCAGAGGAAGCATGACACATACGACACTCCACAGAGAAAACCAACAAAGGAATCGTCATAACCTACAACCCTACCAACTTACATGGAATTATTCTCGTTCCAAACGTTTGGTAACTTCCGATTCCGGCTTACACTTGCGATTCAAGAAAACCCGAATGCCATTCCTTCAGTGTCTGCGAACTCTAAAAAGAGAAGACCGATTCCCTAAATTTTAATTCAGTGTAAACGTCTATTAGGTTTAGTGACGAGGAGAGAGGTTTTTTTTAATAATTTTTATTCATCTTCCACGTCAGATGCCACATAAGCGGGAAACGGGCTAACCTGCGTGCTACCGGCTAAAAGGCAGATTTGACTCTTCTTTTAAACAATGTGGACTCAATTGGTTGAAAAATTAGTAGATGGACTCAATTGACTTTTTGCCTAAAGTGGGTGAACCTATTTGACACTTTTCTCTATTTTATAATTAATTTAAAAAGAAATAACAGAAAAGACGTCTTAATAGACTTTTTAATGGAAAGGAGTACTATATTTCAACTTAGTTAATGATTAAGTCTGTTTTTTGACTGAATGATTAAGTTTTGCTTTTAATTAAGTCGTAAGTAAAATGACTTAATTAATGAACAATTAAGTCATTATTCTCATTAATTTCATTAAGTCGAAAATAGACAATCCTTTGACTACTCTAACTAAGATTAGTAAGATATGATTAAGCAAGTTAGTTCTTAAACCATTCATAAAAAATGAATTTAAATTTGACTTTGCATTAAGTAAAAATTTCAGTTTTAAAGATAATCGTTACTGTATTATAAATTTGAAATATCTTTACGGAGTTTCCTTAAATATTACTAATAAAAATGTTATATATGAACAAAAATGTAACTCAGTAACTATTAGTGAGTATAATTGTGTTCAAAGTTTATATCAGAGTAACTTACATTTAGTTACTACGTTGTAAATTTTGAATACAATGCAATTGTAGTCACCAATTGTAGTCACCAATTTAATAGTTACTAAGTAATATTTTTGTTCATCACATTTTAAAGAGTAATATTTATAAAAATATATCATATCTTTAATATTTCTGTATACAAAATACTTCATTGAAAGTTAACTCTTTTTGCGTGCTATTTCCCGGGTTTTTTTATATGTCATCGAATTTGGGTGTGTTCTACGTAGTATAACAAATTTGTCTCTAGCAAGAATTGAACTCATGACCTTTCAATTTTGTATTAGGGCAAGGACCACTAGACTACAATGCTCAATTATTCTTACATTTTCTCATTTTATCGTATTTAACATATACAGATCTGAAGTTCAGGAATGTACTAATTTAACTCGTGTACTTCTTTTAGACATATACGGAGTATTATTTATTTCTCAAATAGTTAAAGAATCTAATGAAATTTTAATTTGAGATACATTCAATTAAAAATAAAAACTCAATTAAAAATTGTGATAAAAAACGTAATTTGAGATATGTAATTAAAAAATACGTAGTAATTTATAATAACACAACACCAGATGATTTATTAAAAATATTAGGGTTTGTTTACTAACAGAGATATTTTTTAGTTTTTTGTTTCTGTTTTCCGTTCTCCAATTTTCTGTTTTCATTTTTCAGTTTTTCTATCTCTAATTTTTTGTTTTCATTTTTTAGTTTTCCATTTTCGAATATGAAAATATGTTCATACAGTTTTTTCACCCGATTCTGTGAACGACCAAAACACCGAAAGTACGGTCCCAATTCGGAACCGAACCTAGTACGACCCAAGTACTAGGTCCCAGATATGAGTAATACACGAGTTAACACTACAAAAAACTCGCTCTTTGTCACAGATTTTTGTCACGGATTACGGCCGTGACAAAGTTGTCACGGGCTTTGTCACGGAATATTGGGATTTGTCACGAAAATTTGTTGTCACGGATAGGTCCGTGACAAAATATTGTCACGGATTTGGTCCGTGACAAATTTACTCCGGCGACCGGTTTTTTACTCCGGTGAATACTTTTTTTGCTCCCGGGCATTTGTCACGGACAGATCCGTGACAAATCCGTGACAAGTTTCAAAAAAACTTTGTCACAAATCCATCCGTGACAAAATCCGTGACAAATTTCAATTATTGATTTTCCAGCGGTAACCTTTAATAATACAGTACGAAAAAAGGGTTGTCACGGATTAATCCGTGACAAATTCGTGACAAATTTTTTTATATAACCCCAACCCCATCGTCCATTACAATTGCAAGAACAACACTTATCAGTTCAAAAATTCGTAGATTTGAGTGATGTAGTATCGGTTTAAAGATTGAATGATGTAATCCGTCAGTTCATCATTTTCCCAGTTTATGCAGATAAGGTATGTCATTTTAACTAATTTCTTTTAATTGTGTAATAAATTAATTATTAGCTTAATTAGTGAGGTTAGTTGTTCATTTATTTAAACTATTAACGTAATTTAGTGAGGTCATGTTAATTTTCATATTATTAACAATATATTATTAAACTATTAACGTAATTTAATTAAATAGTGACTTGTAGTGATTTAATTAAGTTAAATTTAATTGAAATGAGTTTATATCACCAATGATTAGGCCAGTTTGTTTATTAGTGTTGAAGGTAAATCCCGTAGATCCGAAAGCCCAACACGAACTTTGGATATATCAGGAATGGTACAGAATCAAAGTGTATAACCAAATATCAAATATGAACTCACTAATACTCGAAAGCTCACTTGTATTAATTAACCAGTCTGATTACAAGGAAATTCCCGATCGGTAGGTCGGAAACAATGCTTTAATACAAGAAATAAGAGCAATAATGTTATTCTAGAGCCTGAGTATTGAAATGCTAACCCTTACAATGATTTTAAACCTTCTATTTATACTAATGGAGAGCATGGGCTGCCCTATGCTGATTGGCTGTTGTTCCACCGACTTGATCTCCCATGTTTCCACTTGCTGATGTCACAATCTGACATTAATTGCACCTGGCCACTTGTCGGTTGTCCGTTGCTCGAACGGGATGTTGGACTATGCTGAAGACGCTGCCAAATTGGCCCAAGTATGATATATAGCCCGAACTCCGTTCGGTATGTCTTCTTACTGGGCCAACCCTTACTTGGGCCGAATCTCGTTCGGCGTGAATTCTTCACTGGATCTACTCATCATAGAGTGATGGGCTCGTTGCTTGGGCCGGGTATCTTGGGCCTTCTTGATCCGGGTATTGGGCCTCTGGATCAATATCCCAACAATTAGCAATTATTGTTATTAATGCATAATTTAGGATGTGTAGTGATTTAAGTATTAGCTAGCTTATTATAGATTAATTAATTAGTGACTTGTAGTGATTTAATTAAGTTAGCTAGCTTAGGTTATTATCACCAATTATTGTTTATTAGCAATTATTGTTAATGGGATGCATAATATAGCTAGGATTGAAACTTTATTATTATTTAGTTTAGTGTGAATTATTATTGTGAATTATTAATGAGATAATATTTAACAATAATATTAGTTAAATGTAAATTAATTAACTAAGTTAAAACATTGAGGAAATGAGTTTAGAATTTGAGTTGATAATATTAGTTAGATTTAAATATTAGTTAATTGAAATGGGTTTATAACCAATGATGATGATTAGGTTTAATTTGTTTTATTAGCAATAATTATTGTTAATGCATAATTTAGGATTTGTAGTGATTGAAGTTAGGATTCAAACTTTATTAGTTAAGTATGAATTATATATTATTGTGAATTAATGATATTTAACAATATTAGTTAAATGGAAATTAACTAATTAATAAGTTAAATTAGTTAACTTTAGTATTGTGAATAAATGCCATTAACGTAATAACTTTAATTAGTATTATATGTTAGTTAATTATTTAATGTGTACTATTAGATTTTCATAATTTTAGTATTGTGAATAAATGCCATTAACGTAATAATTTAGTGTGTTTGGTGCACAAATTCTAATATTGTGAATTAGTTAATAATTAAAACGATTAATGCCATTAACATATTACTATTAGTTAATTAGTAATTTTAATTGAACGTTAGTTAATTTTAGTGAACTTTATATTAGTAAATTATTAATTCCGGCCAGCTTAATGTTTCTAAATATGAATTAGTCATGATTGAAAAGTTGGTTAATTCAAATTATTAATGCCACAAATAATGTACTTCTTTTAGTTAATTAATAATATTAATTGAACGTTACTTAATGTACTTATATAATATTTTGATTATAATATATATACAGGCATAATGTATAGACAAAACAGAAGATGGATGTACCAAAAACATCGCGATAACTATGGAATATGCAGTGAATTTTTTAATGGTGTTGAAGATTTTATTAAATTTGCACAAGAACAGAAGAAATATATGGATGGCGATAAAATCAGATGTCCATGTACAAAGTGTAAAAATCTTCAATTTAAAAATGTCGACCAAGTTGTGTGGGATTTGTACGAAAAAGGTTTCGTTGCCAATTATTATAATTGGACTTCTCATGGCGAACCTTTCGATCCATCACTTTTACCACAAACAGTAGGTTCATCTCGTAACGTCCTTACCGAGATGAGTGGATGGGGAGACTATGATCAAATGATGTGGGATCAAAGAATGACATATGATGTATACGGTGCTTCAACGATTCAGTTTAACCCCCCACAGCCATTTAACGATCTTCCCGAAGCTTCGACCTCGTATCAACCCGATGCGGATGAAGATCCGACCTTTTATCAGCCTGATGCGGATGAGTATCCGAATTCTCATGTTCCTCATATTTAAGACTTAGCTGAAAGATTTCAAGATGCTTTAAAAGCTGCCGATCAGCCTCTGTATGCTGATTGTGAGGGATACTCTCAGCTATCCGCCGTTACAGAGTTGATGAACATTAAATCTGAATACAGTCTCCCTGAATCTTGCATGTCTAGGTTATTCCAGTCATTTGGAGGAATGTTACCGCGTGACCATAATCTTCCTGATTCATATTACAAAATGAAACAATTAATGTCTCAGTTGGGGCTTCCTTGTATAGAAATTGATGCGTGCCCAGAAGGATGTATGTTGTTCTGGAAGGATGATGTGGCGCTTGAGAGCTGCAAGTTCTGTGGTGGAGAGAGATACAAGCTTGTTCCTCATAGACGAAAAAAACCACGAAAAAGGTCTGCATTGTCTAAATTGTTTTACCTCCCTCTAGCTCCACGCCTGAAGAGGATGTATGCTTCAAATGCTACTACGAAACACATGACGTGGCATGTTGAGCACGAAACCAAAGAGGGTTTGATGCCTAACCCTTCCAGCTGTGAAGCTTGGAGACACTTTGACCATTGTCATCCTCAGTTTGCAATGGAGCCACGGAATGTGCGATTGGGATTGTGTTCAGACGGATTTGCTGCTTTTGGAAAGTTTGGGAAGAAATTTTCATGTTGGCGAGTCATGCTAACTCCTTATAATCTTCCTCCCGACATGTGCATGAAAAGTCATTTCATCTTTTTAACTTTAATTTGTCCAGGTCCCTCGGATCCTAAAAAAAAGGATAGACATCTATCTCCAACCCCTGATCGAGGAGATGAAAGAACTTTGGGCCATTGGGACACCAACTTATGATGTTTCAAGAAATGAAATGTTTATCATGAAAGCTGCCATCATTTGGACCATTAGCGACTTCCCTGCTTATGGTGTGCTTTCAGGATGGAGCACACACGGTCTTATGGGATGTCCGATATGTATGGAGAAATCAGATGCCAATTGGCTCAAATTTAGCGGGAAACCAAGTTACTTTGATTGTCACCGCAAGTTTCTGCCTATGAACCATCGATATCGAAAGGGCAAGAAGTCTTTTATTGCCGGAAGAGTGGTACGAGATCCCCCTCCTCCAAGACTTACAGGTGAACAAGTTTTTAACCGGGTTCGACGTTTTCCTATGGCTGTGCAGCAACCCTACGGGCAGCCAAATGGGTATTGTGATACCCATAAGTGGACAAAGAGGAGTATATTTTGGGAGTTGCCATATTGGAAAGACCTTCTCATTCATAACAATTTAGATGTCATGCACGTTGAGAAGAACGTCTTTGACAATATATTTAACACGGTTATGGATTTTACCCACAAAACCAAAGATGGTCTTGCATCTAGAAAAGACATGACATCTTGGTGTGACGGACTTGAACTCGCCGTCGATCTAGAATATGTGGGTAAAAAAATTCCAAGAGCAGTCTACCAACTCACAGTCCCACAAAGGGAATCAATATTAGAGTGGCTTGTTTCTCTAAACTTTCCAGATGGCTATTGTAACCTGTCAAGATGCGTGGACCTGGACAAACAAACAATGACGTCGAGCATGAAAACTCATGATGCTCATGTAATCATGCAACGACTTCTGCCGATTGCACTGAAAGAGATGCTTCCTGCAGATGTCTGGGCTGTATTACCGAAATCAGTCAATTGTTTCAGTCGATATGTTCCACCGTTTTGGATGCCGAATCCCTGAGGAGACTAGAAGACATTGTTCCTATTCTGATGTGTAATCTGGAAAAGATACTGCCCCCATCATTTTTTGATGTAATGGAACATCTTCTAATACATCTTCCGTATGAGGCTTTGAATGGAGGGTCCGTCTTCTATCGTTGGATGTACAGATTTGAAAGGTTAGTCATAATTTCATTTATAAACGATGATTTGTTTAATAAGAACATTTGTTTGTTTACAAATTTTATTTTGCATGACAGATTTCTGGGAGATTCGAAAAAGAAAGCGACCAACAAGGCACACATTGAGGCTTCAATTTGTCAAACATATATTCAACAAGAAACCTCAACGTTTTCATCTTTTTATTTTGAGCGTGAAGTCATCAGTAAAAGAAAGAGACCTGCTCGGAACGATGACATTGGCGAGGATTCATATGATAAAGTAGTTTCTATTTTCAACTACCCAGGTAGAGGTAAAGGAGTTGCGACTTACCGTTACATCGTGGGCGGAGAAATGAAAATTGCACATACTTACATCCTCATTAATTGTCCAGAAATCTTACCATTTTATAAGTAAGTTGAATTGGTAGTTACATTTGTAATATAGCTAAAATTTTTTTAATAATTAGAGTGTTATAATAATATCTTTATGTTTCAATTCACAGTGAATTTAGAGCGTCTTTATCAGCATTTCCTGATGATGCAATTGATGCAATAGTGGACTCTGACTTTGCATTATGGTACCAACAGCAGGTATATATATATATATATATATATATATATATATATATATATATATATATATATATATAAATACATTATATATACTATATTACTATTACCTAATAATTTTTAATCATTACCTAATGTTATCATGTTTTAATTTGCAGATCAGGTACCGTGGGATTAACGACTCTCTGTTAGTATCATTATCGTGGGGCCCTTCTTCCTATGCAAAGGTTTGGCATTCATATGTGATAAACGGTTATACGTATCACACAGTCGAATATGGAGAAGGTCGACCAACAATGAACAACGGGTTATGTGTCCCGACCATCGGTTCTGATAACTCGGAAACCAATTTTTTTGGTTTCTTGCATGAGATTCTCGAACTTCAAATGTCTTCTGGTTTGCAAGAATTAACACGCGTGTTGTTTCGCTGCACATGGATCGACCCTACACGTGGTGTGAGAAAAACTTCAAAGTATAATATAATTGACGTCAACCACTCTCGTGTGTATCAGAAAAATGAGCCTTTTATACTCGCTCAACAAGCAGCCCAGGTTTATTATGCAGAGTATCCTTCAACGAGGCGCACACGGAATCCTTGGGTGTGTGCCATTAATATCCGTCCGAGCAAAATTGTAATACAGGATCAACACAAGGATATTGACTTTGATGCTTTTCAGCAAGATTTTTTCCAACCTCCGCCTATTGCTGACACGGTCAACCATAATATTCAGTTAAGTGACCCAAATGGCGGAGATGTTGAAGTTATGCCTGAAACACACCTTCCGCCCCCTATACCTCAAAATGAGCGTGAAATTGAAGAATTATATATACAACTGCACGATGACCAGGAGGAAGAAGAAGAATGGATATATGATGATGAAGATACAGAAGAAGTTGGCTATCAAGAAAATACTGATTCTGATAGCGATTAAATGTATAGTTAACAACCAATGCAATTACTTTTAATTGAACTATTTTAATTTGAATTTTTAACTTTCTTTCGTCATTATTATATTATTCCAAGATAGTTAGGTATGTAATTCGCAACTATAATTTCTAAACAAAATAATTATTCCATATTATATTGTAAAATAGCGATTAATTAATTAATAAAATTAAGTTTTTAAAATTATTCAATCGAAAATTAGTGGTTCATTATTATCAATTCGGAAATTTAAAATTAATTAGGTAATTCGAAAATTGAAAATTATTTAAATTTTAAATAATTCGAAATTTAACATTATTTAAAATTCGGAAATTAGTTTTTAAACATTATTTGTTATTAGTTTTTTAACATTACAAAATTTTAAAATTAAACAATCGAAATTTAATAAACAAGAACATGAATTTATTTATTAAATTTAAAAACTAAGTAGAAAACACACAGTTTTTTATCATTTATTACATTCAACAACTCACAATACAGATAAACAAATAAACACAATATTATTCATTAGCGTCAAAGTTTTCATCTAGAGGTCTATCAAGTAGCTTGTTAATTCTTTCTGCAGCTTCCGCGTTTATACGTATCATATACTCCGAACATTGTTCTGCACGTAAAAGTGCCCTACATAAGTTTTTCCCTCGTGAAACGTTGTATGAGTCTGATTCATAGTCTACAATATCGCCAAAGCTTTCAAGCGGTCTACTCATCAGCTCACGGATGCTTTGAACTGCTTCTGCATTTTGAGGCTTCATCAACTGTGTAACTTGTTTAAATCGTTGTACACTTCTACTGATCAACTTCCACACATCTGGTTCTGGATTAGCCATTTTTTCGCACTGAAAAAATGGGGCTCTAAGCACGTATTTATACTTAAATTTGTCACGGATAGGTCCGTGACAAATTAAAGTATCTGACGCCTCGCCTGAAAAAAGGCTGAAAAGCTTTAATATTCCCTGGACCGGTTTGTCACGGATCTATCCGTGACAAATCCGTGACAAAATTCAAATTTTTGTTTATATCTATTGTTTATAAAACTTGATAAAAACTGATTTTTAAATAATTTCGGATATTATAATATTTTATTTTAAAAACAGTTTATGTAAAAAACAGAAATTAAGTAAAAAAAAATCTATTGAAATTATATTTTAAATAATTTCGGATTTTTAAGAATAAACTGTTTCATAGGTAAAAAAAAGAAATTAAGTAAAAAATGTATTTTATAGATTAAAACAGAAATAAAAAAAACTAAACAAACTGTTTTTGTTTATATAATACAAAAATGATTTCATATGTTTCATGAAAAATTGATTTTATAGGTTTCATGAATAAACAAAAAATGAAACTGATTTTATAGATTTTATGAAAAAATTGATTTTATAGATTTCAAAAATCAATTTTTTCATGAAACATATGAAATCATTTTTGTATTATATAAACAAAAACTGATTTTTTAATTCAAAAACTGAGTTTTTACAAAATCAGAAAACTGTTTTTTATAAATTAATACAAAATACAAGGTGTAATAAACTGTATTTTTCTAAATTAATGCAAAAAACTAATTTCCGATGATTTATAATTTAATATGAAAAAACAGATTTTATTAGTTTAATATAAAAAATTTGATTAATTGATTTTATAAGGTTTGATAAAAAAATATACATAACACAAGTTACCTCCATAACATAAAAATCATACAACAAACTGATTCGACCCCTCATATTAAACTCAAGTTTAATATGTTCTATATTTCAAAGTTTTATACCACACAAAAACACCATAAAATAATTTTATAAGGTTTGATAAAATATTACCTAACACAATTAAATTCAATAACATAAAAAACATACAAAAAACTCATTCTACCCCTCATATTAAACTCAAGTTTAATATGTTCTATATTTCAAAGTTTGATAAATACCTAACACAATTAAATTCAATAACATAAAAATCATACAAAAAACTCATTCTACCCCTCATATTAAACTCAAGTTTAATATGTTCTATATTTCAAAGTTCGATAAATAAATAGGAAACTGATTAAGTTTAAACCATTATACCACACAAAAACTCCATAAACTGATTTTATAAGGTTTGATAAAATAATACCTAACACAATTAAATTCCATAACATAAAAATCAAACTAAAAACTCATTCGACCTCTCATATTAAACACAAGTTTAATATGTTCTATATATTATTTCTCAATAATTTTAGATGAGTGAGCACGAACGCCGCCTTTCCACCATTGCTCGTCATGGGCGCCAGAATTCACGACGGGCCTCAAACGCTGATCGTGATATCAATGATGATATCAATGCCGACAAAGGACATGCTCATGACGGACATGTCCAAACTCCTCCCTCTGAACAATCAGACACTCATATCAGCGTGCATGGGGAGGGGACATCAACCTCTCATGCACCTCCTCCATCTCGTGCAATATATGCCCCCCCTCCCACTCAAGAAGAGCGCCACAATCCCAGTTCGCTTGAGGTGACACCTCAATCAATCCATAGGTAATAAAAAACTAACATTGTCTAATATAAAATAGTATAATCTCTACATCTAAGAATTAATACAATTGTTTTTATCAATTATCAATTTTTTTGAAGCGATCCTGAGGTCTTGAATAGAATCAAGGGTATTGTTAGTGGTCATTTCACGGGGCCTTGGTCGACTTATGGTGAGGTTCCGGCGGCCACTCGTGAACTATGGTGGCGGTTGTTCAAGGTAAAAATAAATTTTTTTGTTACATTTTAATAACTTAAATTTAACAAATGATATATCAATGTTTTTAATGAAGGCTTCTCATCGGTGGCATTTTGCCCTAGACCAAGTTATTCTCAAAGAATACAATTCTAGGATTTCTGGGTGGTTGAGACCCACTTTTAGGACCGCCCGGTCTACCGGTCGAAAGCCAAGATTCCTTGGCGATGATGTGTGGGAGATGCTTTGCCGCCATTGGGCTACGGATCCCGCATTTTTGCTGAGAAGCGAAACAGCCAAGGCAAACAGGAACTCGGAAAAAGCCAAGGAAGTTCAATGGCACGGGGGCCGCAAACCCCAAATTCATCATAAAAAATATCTGGTAAACTCTAATTAGTTAAAATTATTTCCATTCCATTCCCTTATGTATATATTTTTTTATTAACTTTGAAATCCGTGTAGGAAGGATCTGGACCCGTGAAAAAATGGGTCACGCCATTGAAACTCATGGCACATTGTTGGACGAAGAAGGGTGCCATGCCGCCTCCCCGCCTTTCTGAAATTGAAGTAAATAGTGAAACTTCTATAATTCAATAAATTTTGAATTTTTTTGATCTCTTATTTAATAAATTTTTGAACTTGTAGAAAAAATATGAGGAAGAGCGGGGGAAGAGAGTTGATGAGCTAGGTGATTCTGATGCCGAACTTGATGAAAATCAAGAATATGAGGCCATCTTGGCGGCAACCGGAGTTTACAAGGGCCGGGTGCCACTTATGGGTTCTGAAGGCTTACAGATCCTGGAGAAGTCCAAAGGAGCTAGCTCATCTTCTCATTCGGCGTATGATGATCGGGTTACCCGCCTCGAGAAACTATTGGAGGAACGTGAAGCAGAGGCTCGAAGGCGGGATGAAGAAGCTCGGATACGGGATGAAGAGGCAAGAAGAACGAGAGAAAGGTTGGAAGAGATGGAACGACAAATGCGTATGTTCAACGCCACCTACCGCCCATCCATGCACATACAGCACCCCGAGATGACTCCACAAATTCCCTTCGCGGGCAATATGGGCAATATGGGTAGTATGGACAGTAGGAGTTTTGCTAATTATAGCCATATCTCCAACAATTTTCCATATGGATATTATGATGATACCCCTTTAGCGACTCCCGGAGCTCAAGCATACCGTGGCAGCAGCCGGGTTGGCAACCGTGGTGGCAGTCGGGGCAGCCATCGTGGCGGTAGCCATGGCCACGGAAGGCAACCCGATCATCGTGAGGAACCTGATGATGATGATGATGATGATGATTATGATGACCATTGATGGTTTGTAATAACTAGTTTATTGACATTTTAAGGATTTTTAAATTTTGATGGTTAGTGTATGAATATTAATTATTTGTGTTATATAATGATGGTTTGATTGGTTTATTATTTATTATGATAAATACTGTTTAATGGTGATTAATGATGATTAATGATGATTGTTTAATTATTTATTATAAACAATTATTTATTAAGATTAATGATGATTGTTTAACTATTTATTAAAAACAATGTTTATTAAGTTTAAATTTTTAAAAAAATGCCTAAATTTTAATGGTTATTATTTATTAAATAAACTTTTGAAATAAACATTCAAAAAATTAATGCGCTGAATTTTTAAAATTTTTTTTAAAAAAAATTAAAACTTTTGTCACGGACTGTTCCGTGACAAAATATAAATTCAGTTTATTTTAAATACCCAACACGTTGAAAATAACGTTTTTTTTTTAAAAATGTTTTGTCACGGATGAGATCCGTGACAAGTTCAAAATTTTGAATATTTTTTTGAAATTTTTAAAGTACCCGCCCACCTGTTTCGAAATTTTTCAAAACTTTTTCAAAATCTTTTGTCACGGATATGTTCGTGACAAAATTAAAAATTTGAATTTTTCAGATCGTTTCAAATACCCGCCCACTCTATTTCGAAAACCTTTTTTTTTTAATTTGTCACGGATATTTCCGTGACAAATATTTTTTTTTTTTTGAAAAATAAAAAAAATTATTCACGGATGTGGCCGTGACAAATAAAAGGCGATGGAGTTCCGGTGAAGTGTTTTGTCATGGACGGTGGCTGTGATAAATCCGTGACAAACGGTCTCACGGATTAATTTCCGTGACAAAAAACGTTATCACGCCCCTGGTGTCACGGATTTTTTCCGTGACAAATCCGTGACAAAAAATCATTTGTCACGGATTTTTTGAACTACTGTCCGTGACAAAATCCGTGACAAAGAGCGAGTTTTTTTGTAGTGTAAACTAGTACATCCTATAACTTAAAGTCTATGTACGTTAAACATAACAATCGGTAGAAATGTCATATTTCAAAACACTAGCCCAAAAAACGCATCTATTTGCAACGTTCCCATAATTCCATTTCAGCGGTTCTTCCAAAAACGTTACAATCGAATAACTATTTACCGAACAACGTTTTCGCTTATTGAACACACTAGAATGCATGCATTAAATGATCTTCCCATCATATCTAGATTTTTTGTCAAAAAGGAGGACTACCCAAGTGTTTGATTTTGCGGTTTTTTTTTTGAACACCAACCAAAACAAATATATTAATTCATCAAATCATTCGCCAAATGGCTTACAATAATATCATGTATGAGATAATCGTAACAAATCTGATCTGAGATAATAACATGTGATCTAGTTAATGTGTGAGCAACACGATTTGCAGATCGCTTATAAAAAGAGAATAAAATTACTCTTTGTTTTCAAGAAATTCCTTATATCATCAAGTAAGAAAAGTCCCCCTCTTTTTGAGCCCCTGGACCACCGTAAGTGCATCTGTCTCAATCTCCACGTGTGTCCATCCTTCCTCAGCTGCACAAAAAATAGCATCTCGGACTCCCATTGCTTCGGTTTCCGCCGCCGACCAACTAGCTAGCTCAGAGACTTCCCGAGCCTTGACAAATTCTCCATGATTGTTGCGTGCTACCCATCCCCAAGCTCGGATATTGTTTTCTTGATTAACCACCCCATCAACATTTATTTACTTTAATGTACCTATTCTCCGGTCTCTTCCAAACCGCCGCTGAGCTATCATTATTCCTTCCCAGCCCCGTTTGGCCATTAGCTTGCGCTTCCCTCCAGCTCACAACCACATCGGCCGCCGCATTGAGGATTCCCGTTGTTCCTTGCCATCTGTCCTTCCAAATAAACTCATTTCTTCTCTTCCATATACTCCATAGAATGGAGATAAATCTGCAACGGGCTTTCTCATTTGATACCCCAAGCTGCTGCCAAATCCACGTACTAACTGAATACGACGGTTGTCCACACCAGCCTGCTACCAAACTTCTTGAACCTGAACGCAAGAGCGATCCGCATGGTCCAATGTTTCATCCCCCTCCACAAGCATTGCACCCTTCTTGCACTTGCACATCTTTCTTTCTTAGATTGTCCACCGTGGGGTAACGATCCATCAATAACCTGCCAAGCAAAATATTTGAGCTTCGGAGGGATGCGAAGATCCCACAACCGTGCCCAGTTCGTACCACTCCTCGCGGTCAGCTCTCCCGTAAGCAAACAGTGGCAACTTTTGACTGAAAATATTCCACTCTTCTCCCCTGTCCACCAATACCCATCCTTTCTATCTTGAAGGCTCATCAGGCTAGATGTCTCTGTCACCAGTTTCCATCCCTGCTTAGCCAGCATCATCAAATTAAATTCCTTTATCCTCTCGAATCTCAATCCCCCATATTTTTCGGCTTACACAGCACCTCCCATCTCCTCCACCGCAGGAGGCCTTTATGTTCAAATTTTGTCCCCCTCCACCAAAATTCATTCATTAATTTTTCAATTTCATCACACGATTATTTGGGAGAAGAAAGACATTCATGGCATAATTGGGCATAGCTTGAACACCATTTTTTAATAGAACCATTCTACCTAAATATTTCATCTTTTAGATAGCCTAAAATACCAAACATACTACAACATGCATCTTTAAACTGCTCCCCCACATTCTGACGGTAAGATAGTGCAGACTTTGCATAGTTTAGTGCGGGTCTTTTCTTACTTAATGGGAATAAGTAACATCCATGCCAAAAATACGAGAGTTTTGCTATGTTTTCTGTAAAGGGGGGATTCGGAAGGGGTAATTCCGATTAGGATGGTGGGGGCGATAGGATGGTGGGGGTGGGTAGATGGGCTGGGAGGGGGAGGGGCAAGGGAAATGTAAAAATCCCATTTTTTATTAATTGATTTAACTTTTTTTATTTGTACTCTAAATTTTACAAAAAAAAATCAAAACTTATAACTTTTTGTGATCTTTCTAATGACATCAATAATCCATATATAAACTTTATTTTCTTTTATGTTTCAATTGTAGAATGTTTTCAGGTTTTTGTTTCTATAAACTAAAATCTTTTATCACATCACTCTAAATCACATGCGGCCGTCTCCCTTGAATAAGGGTTCCAATTTTTGTCGTCTTATGTGCGGCGTTTAGATTTAGTCGTCCTTTGGAGCGACGATTAAAGTAGCAGAGAAGGAATTGTTCGGGAGAATATCGCTAGGCGTGTTGTGGCGGCCGATGGAGAAGGAGTTGCGGGAGCCAATGAAGGAAGAAAGGGAGGCATCCAGAGGGGCTGAAATTGCGGGGCAAATGGAGGTTGCGCGCCAGGGAATCAATCGAGCGACGGGCGGGAGTTGTGCCTTGTTTGTGTCAACAATGATAGTGATGATCTGACCTTCTCTTGAATCACCACCAGGCGATGAACGAGGTGCTACGGTTCAAGATACTTGTTTTGCTTATTTAGTTTTTTTTTCATGTTTCGTCATCCTCCTATTAGTTTTTATTATTTTATCATTTGGTTTCTTGTTATCGTCTATGTTGTTAGGTTTGTCAGTTTGCTGGGAATTTAGCCTCCTTTTGTGTCATTGGGTATGTTTGGATCTATGGGAACAGAGAAGGCTGTGTCAAGCCCGCTGCATGGTCAGCGATTCATGTTGCTCTTTCAGGGGTGACCGTCTCTAAGTCTGATCATAGGGTTTACGGTCATAGTTGTTGAAGTTTAGTTGATGTCAGATTTGTTTTTCCTTTGGTTGATGTAATGATCCTGAAACTTATGATATCAATAGATGCAAGTTTCTGTTCAAAAAAAAACGGTAGAATGTTTTCAAATCCAAAAACTTTCTTAAATAGATTGAAGTGCTAAAATAAAGATCTCATTGTTAAAGTAACTTTTAATACATCTTTCAATTATTTTAAAAATAAAGTTTTAATGTTAGCACTTGGATCTATTCAAGAAAAAATTTGAAACTGAAAATCTCTTACTGTTAAAACTTCAATTTTTTTAAAATTTTATGTATGTCATGTTGGAGTCATATGAAAGATCATAAAATATTATAAATTTTATATGGAGTATATTTTTAGTAAAAAAAGGAGTACAAATAAATAACATACAACACTTCAAAAAAATTGGAAATTAATATTTAGCTATCCCCCACCCACCCCCTTACCCTTGTTTTCATTTTTGCTTGTAAGACAAAAAAGTCCCATCTTTTGGGAATTTCCTCTGATTTTGAGTCGTCCGGTTAAGGACTGACACTTGAGATGTCTCATGCACATCACCTCGTACTTGTGGAGCAACTGTCGTGGTCATGCTCGCCCAGCAATTTGTTGTTAAACATAACACAAAAACTCCCTTTGTACACACTTTCCATACACACACATACACACTATAAATACTCCCAAACATAATTTACCCCCTTTCCCCACCTCAACCACACGTGCGACGACTTCAAAAACACTCCCGCTCCCCTTTTTCGCGTATCCCCACTTCTCCCACATCCCTTCCCTTCATCCGAGCTTTGAACTGCCACAAATGATTCTTCCGATTCAGCCACGACCCCTCACCCGAGCTTTGAACCGCCACAAACGATTCTTCCGATTCAGCCACAACCCCTTACCTAGTCTTCTCTGCGAAATTAGCCCCAACCAACCGCCGATTCTCTGCAAGCATCGTCCCCGCCAACCCGACTCTCTGCAAGCCTCTGTTACAGACCAATTCTATGGCCAGAAATATCAACGTAGAAATCACATGATCAGGAAGGGTGATTCTGGGATCCAAAGTGGCTGAGAAAGAAATATGTGATCTGGCGATTTTAGGAATCATCCTAATTAGCAGCTTCCTAATTAGCATTGATCTCTTTAATTATTTCTAGCTTCCTATTCAGCAGTTTCCTCATTAGCATTTATCTCTTTTCAATAATTATTCCTATTATGCTTTAGGCAACTTCTTAATTAGCATTTATCAGGACTCTTGTAATAGCTACATAAGGGTCATTAGTATTATTCAATAAACAGCTTTGGAGAATTAATTCTTGGATCTCTGGAATACTTCCAAGATCAGATTAATTCCACTGAGCCCTTTCTTTTAATTCTTCCAATTAATACGCTCATCATAGATTCCAAATTACAGAAATTCTCTAAGTTCTTGTTCTCTGCCAGTCTCTCGTTCTCATCCTTGGATGAGATCTTGTACATCTGCCCTTAACAGCTTGGTATCAGCATCTGGGACGATGGCGAAGGACGCTGCTGACGCTGGCTCACTCAAAGACATGATCGAAAACATTGATCACAAGCAACTGGCAGTCGAACATCAATTGGCAGACATCAGGGATTCTATGGTTAAGCTCACCGACATTCCTAACGTTGTATCCGCGCTATCTGCAAACCTGCAACGATTGATGGGCGAATCTTCCTCCAACAATCCACGAACAATCCACGACATGAACGACAACGTGACACGGAACCTCGACGACGTGAAACTGATGATTCCTTAGTCTCCCGCTACTCCAAACTGGAATTCCCGCAATTTGAAGGTAAAAGTGATCCCTTGTCATGGTTGAAATGTTTTGAAAGCTTCTTTATTCAACAACGAACACCAGCCCAAGCTCGAGTGGGATTGGCAACATTCCACATGCTCGGCACGGCCCAACTATGGGCTGATCAACTTGAGACGCGAATTTCAGAGATTACATGGACAGACTTTTACACTCGCTGCATCAAATGTTTTGGCCCACCCAGTAGTTCTAATCCAGAAGGCGATCTTGCCAAACTTCGTCAAACTCGTGATCTGGAGCTCTACATTGAGAATTTTCAACAATTATTGGCTCGAACTGTGGGGATCTCTACACGAATGCAGGTCAAAATATTCACAGCTGGCCTTCGGGAGGTCATCCGCATGGAGGTTGAGTACCAAAATCTGTTAGATCTTGACTCTGCGATGATGCTTGCACGTAATGTTGAACTCAAATATAATTTGCAAGGTTCCTCGGTCGAGATCTCCCATCCACCCCAACCTGCCACGCGATCGGGCTAGGCGCCTACACTGACCGAATCCAATCAACCTCGATGCAACTCCATTCCAACTTTCAAAAAGATTTCTCCTGCAGAGGCTGACATCCGACGGGAGAAAGGGTTGTGTTATAATTGTGATGATCAGTGGGTTCGTGACCATAAATGCAAACGGTTGTTTTTCATTGAAATTTTGGAAGACAGTCCACTGGAAGATGACCTGGAGCCCCTCTCTCACTTCATGCTATGGTTGGTGTTGGGACAACATCAACAATGCAGTTAGCTGCACATATTCACAACACCTCGATCACGGTTTTAGTCAACTCGGGCAGCACCCACAATTTTGTGCATCAACGGCTGGTTTCTAATATTGTTCACCCGGTCCAACCCGGGGGGTCCCGTCTTCAGGTTTTGGTGGCTAATGGTGACCGGGTGCCTATAGTGGGAACCTGCCCTCACCTGGAATTCATGGTCGATTGACACACATTTATGGCAGACTTCTATGTACTACCCTTAGCCAGATTTGACATGATCTTGGGAGTACAATGGCTTCAAGGCCTCAGATTTATTGTATGGGACTTTTCCCGCCTTTCTATGCAATTCATATGGCAGAATGCAAAGGTGGAATGGCACGGACAGATTGCAACTACGCCTCCTCATGCCCATATGTTGACCGAAACAGTCTTAGGGGTGGAAGGCTTGCTGAATGACTTCCAGGATATCTTCTGCAAACCAACCGGCCTTCCACCTTCCCGGCCTTGTGATCACCGGATTTCCCTCATCCCAGGAACATGCCCAGTCGTTGTTCGTCCGTACCGCTACCCATACTTTGAAAAGGATGAAATCGAAAGACAATGTTCAGAGATGCTCGAACAAGGTATCATACGCCCAAGTCATTCTCCCTTTTCGTCGCTTGTATTATTAGTAAAGAAACCAGAGGGTGCTTGGCAATTCTGCGTTGATTATAGGGAATTGAATTCCAAGACGGTCAAGGATAAATACCCAATCCATGTAATTGATGAGCTGCTAGATGAACTTTATGGGGCCCAATTTTTTACTAAACTCGACCTCCGTTCCGGATATCATCAGATCCGCATGGCAGCTGGGGATGTCGAAAAAACACCATTCCGTACGCATCATGGAAACTTTGAATTCTTAGTTATGCCTTTTGGCCTGACTAATGCACCCTCCACATTTCAGAGTTTGATGAATGATATTTTTGGGCCCTACCTTCGCAAGTTTGTCCTCGTTTTTTTTATGACATATTGGTTTATAGCAAGTCATGGGTTGAGCACATTTATCATGTGTGCCTCGTCTTAGAAATCTTGCACAACCATGGCCTTTCTGTCAAAAAATCCAAGTGCAGTTTTGGCGACCAGCAAGTCAACTATCTTGGTCACATAATACATCGTGGGGGTGTCGAGGTTGATCCATCGAAAATACGAGCAATCACAGAGTGGCCCCTCCCTAGATCTATATCTGCCTTGCGCGGGTTTTTAGGGTTGGCCGGCTATTACAGAAAGTTTATTCAACAATATGGTGAAATTGTAGGGCCTCCCACGCAAATGTTAAGGAAAAGCTCCTTCATATGGACAGAAGAAGCTGCCCGAGCATTCGAGACACTTAAGCAACGCTTATCCTCCGCTCCGGTACTCCAATTGCCAAATTTTGAAAAAGAATTCATTGTAGAATGCGTTGCTTCAGGTTCAGGTTTTGGAGCACTCTTACAGCAGGAAGGGCATCCTATCGCCTACAGCAGGATCGGCACCTTAAGCTCGCAGCCTATGAAAGAGAGTTGATTGGCTTAGCCAAGGCAGTGACTCATTGGAGACCCTATTTGTAAGGATCTGAATTTTTGATTCGGACAGATCACTCTAGTTTGAAGTATTTATTGGATCAACGATTGACCACTTCCCCACAACAACATTGGTTGAGTAAATTGATGGGCTTCAATTTTCGAGTGGAATACAAGCTAGGTCGTCTAAACATTGTCGCAGATGCTCTATCCCGACAACATGAGGACGACATCTAGCTGGCAGCACTCAGTGTTCCATACAACCAAACTTGTTAAAAGCGCTCAAAAGCGCGCTTAAGCGTCAAAGCGCAGGCGAGCGCCGGTTCCCCGCCTGGCTTTTGGGAAGCGACTCGCCGTGAGAAAGCTCCGCTTTTCCTTCGCTTTTCGTGAGCTCACTTTTCAATTAAGTGACCGCTTTTCTGAGCTTTTCACAAAAAGCGAAGGTCAATTTTTTTTTTTAAAGTTTTAAGTGTTATCGGCCTCACGCTAGAAATTAGGGTTATGTTCGTTCGATTCTTTCCACGCACCAGACAACGTCGCAGGTGAAGAAGTCGCAAGTGAAGAAGTCGCAGGTGAAGAAGTCGCAAGTGAAGAAGTCGCAAGTGAAGAAGTCGCAAGTGAAGAAGCCGTAGGTGATGAAGCCGCAGGTTTGGAGTTCGCCCAGACTTCTTTTGGGCTAGAAATCTCCAACTCGCCTATGAGCCGCACAATCTCTTTCGCGTAAACATCGTTCTTCAGTGTTCACTCTTCAGGTTTACTCTGTTTTTTTTTAATTTGAAAACTTTCAGTCTTATTACAGACTACAGAGACTTTAGCCTTTTGCTCTGTTTTTTTAAACACCTTTCAGCCTTAAACATCGTTCTTCACTCTTTAGCTAGTTACATAATTAATTTATCAACCCCAGTTTACTCCACTAAATTAAATTTTAGTTTATTCATTTCAGTTTATTGATTAATTAGTTTTTAGTTTATTCCAGTTTTTTCCTTTCATTTTATTGATTAATAAATTTTTAGTTTATTCCTTTCAGTTTATTGGTTAATTAATTTTTAGTTTTTTCCAGTTTATTCCTTTCATGTTATTGATTAATTAATTTTTAGTTTATTCAAGTCTACTACTTTCAGTTTATTGATTTATTAATTTTCAGTTTATTCCACTAAGTTTATTGATTAATTAAATTGTACAGTTCATTTACACTTGCTTGATTATATATTTGTGAAATATGTATATGTAAACCGTAGACAAAATGTCTGGAGAACAATCTAAAAGTCAAGATCCTCAGGGGAGAAACACTACTTATGCATTTTTGGATTAATTATACATTATATATATTATTTTTTTAATATTTTATAAGCATCACTTTTTGTGAGAAAGCTACGCTTCGCTTAGCGCTTTCGCTTTTAAGCAAAGCCCAAGGTCATCGCTTTTGGACGCTTTTCGCTTTAAAAAAGTTTGCATACAACACCTTACTTAGTGAAATACGTGCAGAACAAGCAACCTCTCCTATCATAGCAAATATCATTGGCGAAATTCGAACTGGCCAACGTGGATCAGATTGGGAGATTCGAGATAGTCTAGTTTATTTTAGGTTTAAAATCTACCTGCTAGATACATTTGCAGTCGTTCCGACTCTTATTTCGATTTTTCATTATATGGCTCATGAGGGAGTGGAAAAGACTTTGCAACGACTTCGGCGCGAGTTTTATTGGAGCGGCATGAAAATGGCAGTGACAACCTTTGTTCGTAACTGTCAAACGTGTCAAAAACACAAGTGGTTGACATTACAGCCAGCTGGTTTGCTTCAACCTCTTCCGATTCCACATCACATATGGGCTGATATTTCAATGGATTTTGTGGAGGGTTTACCAAAGGTTCGCGGCAAATCTGTTATCCTAGTGGTTGTGAAAAGACTCTCTAAAGAAGCACATTTTATCCCGTTGTCTCACCCTTATACTGCTGTCTCAATCGCAAGAGTCTTCTTTGCTGAAATATTTCACCTTCATGGACTACCTGAATCCATTGTTTCTGACCGGGATAAAATATTTGCAAGCACATTTTGGCGCGAACTTTTCCGATTATCAGGAACCAAGCTGGCCTATTCATCAGCATATCACCTGCAGACAGATGACCAAACGTAGGTGGTCAACCGTACCGTAGGGTTGTTCTTACGTTGTGTCACTAACGATTATCCCAAGGAATGGGTCCGTTGGCTTCCATGGGTCGAGTATTGCTACAACACATCTTACCACTCTTCCTTAGGGGACACCCCTTTTCGTTTAGTGTATGGTCGAGATCCGCCTCGTATTCTCTCATATATGCCTGGCACAACTACTGTCGAGGGGGTTGATCGAGCTCATTGCTCGTGACCAACTTCTGAAAAATGCCAAGGACTGACTAGCACAAGCCCAACAACGCATGAAAAATCAATTTGATAAACATCACCGAGACTTATCCTTTGACCCCGGTGCATGGGTCTGGCTCCGTCTCCAGCCATATCGCCAAGTCTCCTTGGGCCAAAAGAATCACAAACTATTACAGAAATTTTTTGGCCCCTTTCAAGTGCAGAAACGCATTTGCAACAGCGCATACAAGCTCATATTACCTGCTGAGGCTCGTATACACAATGTCTTCCATGTCTCCCTTCTGAAGCCGCATTAAGGGCCTCCTCCAATGACAATGGGCACTCTTCCGTCTGTTCCTAACAGACTTAGCACCTCAGTTCCCCTTACTCAAGGGGGCTGGGAGCTCTTAGTTCACTGGCAGGGGCACCAACTGGATGAGGCAACTTGGGAGCCCTTAGATTCATTTCAAGCGAGATTTCAGTTTTGAGCTTGAGGACAAGCTCTTTGTCAACGAGGGGAGTGATGTTACAGACCAATTCTATGGTCGGAAATATCAACGTATAAATCGCATGATCAGGAAGGGTGATTCTAGGATCCGAAGTGGCTGAGAAAGAAATCTGTGATCTGGCAATTTTAGGAAGCTTCCTAATTAACAGCTTTCTAATTAGCATTGATCTCTTTAATTATTTCTAGCTTCCTATTCAGCAGTTTCCTAATTAGCATTTATCTCTTTTCAATAATTATTTCTATTATGCTTTAGGCAACTTCTTAATTAGCATTTATTAGGACTCTTGTAATAGCTACATAAGGGTCATTAGTATTATTCAATAAACAGCTTTGGAGAATTAATTCTTGGATCTCTGGAATACTTCCAAGATCAGATTAATTCCACCGAGTCCTTTCTTTTAATTCTTCCAATTAATACGCTCATCATAGATTCCGAATTACAGAATTCTCTAAGTTCTTGTTCCCTGTCAGTCTCTCGTTCTCGTCCTTGGACGAGATCTTGTACGTCTGCCCTTAACAGCCTCATCCCGCCAACCACCGTCTCTGCAATCTATTGTTATGCTCAGGCAACATAAACCCATAGTAGAGTCTTACATGGCTCGATAAAATTCCGATATAATACTCCAACTACTATAGTTGAAAGCAAAACCAAAATAATAATTTGACATACTGCCCATATAGTTGGTGGAGCAAAACCCATAATAATTTTGGCTCCAATGGAAGTCGGCCGCAGATGCCGTTAATGCACGGTAGTCGCTAGCAGCCCTCATCAGTAACTCAGAAAATTGTTTCTGCACAGATTTTCACAGGTGTCAAAACAGAATTATGAAGCCAATGTATTTCATTGGTGTTTTATACTCTATTTTATGAAACAGGTTAAGGTATCAAAACAGCATCATGAAACAATGTAATTCATTGATGTTTTTATACTCTATTTATGTGTGTTTGTATGTTCATTTTTATGTTGGGAGAATAGAAGAGTAAGTGATTAAGAAGTATTGGGGTAGGTGTTCCTGATTGTGGAGGCCGTATGAATACAAGAGTAAGTGAGAATAGAAGAATAAGTGATTAACAAGTAATGGTTAATGTAAACCGTATGAATACAAATATAAATGAAATACTAAAAACCTGATTTCCTATACCAGAAAAAAAAAAGTATAAACAAAATTTACCAGTCCTTCCACACAAAGAGATTTGGTTGGATTACAAACAAGAGATTCACGATACAGATAGAGAACAGGATGAGCAAAAGATACATGTCAAATGTTACTGTTGTTATTATTTCTGTTGTTGTTGTTGCGTCTTCTGGCGAATGAAAGGTTGCAGCGAAATACTTAACCATCAACATCTCTTAGAGAAGCATGTGGTTGGGCTTTTTAAGTTTCAAAGCTTTTCCTTTGTATTGTTGTTGGTTATCTCATTATTATCAATCTTGTCTTTGTTTCTCGAGCTTTAAGGGATCCTCAGTATTATTACTACTAGTATTATAAAAGGATGACTCTTATAAGAAGTACGGAGCATAAGTTATGGAGTTATTTTACTAAAGAGTGATATTTTTCCAGATTCTTTGTGCTAGTACTATACTACTCATCATCATCATCATTACCCTAGTGCCGCAAAGGCTCCCACCTACGGTGGGGTAAGGGGGGGTCGGATGTACGCAGTCTTACCCCCTAGTACTATACTACTATTCAAGTAAAAATCTGAAATATCCAGATTGAGAGATAATAAGCTTATAATTCAATTTACCAAACAAATACCTGATATTCTGCTTCCGCTGGAATGCAATATAATAAATAGTGGCTGGTAGAGGTATACATATGGTGCAAAACTTGATGAAAGAGAGAGCTCATGTGTAGACACTATCAGAGAGATGGCATGCCTTGCTAAAAGGGAAAATTCCTCTAACCATTCTGGTCGGCTCTTGTTAGCCATTCCATTTGACAAGGCTTTGAGGACGCCCACCATCCCATCTTCCCTGTCAAAATCCAGAATGTACCCCAATAGTAGCAGTCTGTCTATCAGATGAATATTATATACTCCGTTTGAAACAATATCCATCAAGAGCAACTGAAGTAAAATATAAGCTTACCCCAAATAGTGATTAGTTGATTACAGAAGAAAACCAGTCAGAGGACCTTCTATTGCTATCGAGTTGTTTTATGATTTCTTTCTCGTTCCAGTTTTATTTTTCCAAAACTCATCTTTTTTCCTTTTTTGCTTCTGATGCAGAGCACCCATGTTACTTCTAATAATGCCCTTCAAAGCACTTCTATCCTTCTTATTCTTAATGGCAGCCTTTACATCCAATATTGCCCTGAGCTTCTGATACGATCCAGCATCAGGAATTTCCCCACACTGCACCATCTGCTTGTGATAATAAAATGCCCTCTTGAAATCTCGAACGCGAATATAGGCATATATCATTGTAGAATAGGTGACCGAATCGGGTTTTAGATTATGTGCTGCCATTTCTTCCAGAAGCAGTGGCAACTTTGATTCTTGACCTCCCCGTGCATACGCATTCATCAGCATATTATATGTCATAACTGTTGGTGGAAACCCAATCTTTCCAAACTCACATATAACATCTCTTGCTTCAACGTAATGACCTTGTTTGGCGAAGCCATCGAGAAGTGTGTTGAAAGTCACCCTAGTCCCTACAACTTTACCTTTGATCATCATTTTCCAAATTTTCATCAGTGTTTGTGTGTCACCAGCACGGCGAAATGCATCAAGCAAGGCAGTATAAGTTTGTATTGATGGTTTTATTCCTTCCCTCAGCATGTTCTCAAATGCAATATAAGCCTTCTCATGCCACATACAGACTGAATGAGCGTGAATAAGAGCAGTATATGAATGAGAATTCGGTTTTATGCCCAACTTTTTCATTCTCAAGAATGCATCTGCTGCCCTATCACTCATTTTCTTCTGCCTACCATACGCACTAATGAGACACGTATAAGATTTTACGTTCGGCTCTAGTCCAATACTTTCCATCTCTTCAAGTAGCCTTTCAACAACCTCAGGCTGTGCGCTTCTGCTATATGCATCCATTAATATGGTATATGTAGCTGATGTAGCTGGTATTCCTTTCATCTTCATTTCAGCAAATATTCCTTCAGCTTCTTCAATTTGGTTGGCTTTACTATAGGAGTCCATTATAGTATTATATACAATCGTATTTGATGAGATCCCCCTTTTCTCCATTTCAGATTGTATAATAAAAGCTTCCCTCTGAAGCCCCTCATCACAAAAAGATTTGACTAAGGCACCCAAAACTTCAAGGCTCCACATCGCCCCTCGCTTATTCATTTTCTCAAACATCTCCCATGCTTCCTTTGCGGTATTTCCAACTTTCCTCATTATTGTAATTAGAATGGAACAGGTCACATGATCTGGTTGAACATTACTTTTCAGCATTATCTCATAGATTGCCCATGCATCATCATACCTATGATTAAAACAAGTGAAGATCCAACTCAGTGTTTAGGCAGTCTATCAAGGAAAATTGCTCAGCTAAGTGATAAGTTACTTGCATTCTGCATAGCTATTTTTCTGATAATTGTTTCCAAAAGGCAAATCAATAATGAAATAGTTAAAAAAAACTAACCAACCAAATACAAACTATCAAGATTTCAACAAAGTTATCTGCAATATACAGTACAAAACAGAAGTGCTGGAGAAGCATCATACCTCCTTGAGCTCAAAAGCCCAGAAATTGCAGAATTATAAATATGAACATCCCTGAATTGTTTGTGATTAGGCAAACTTTTGAAGAGAAGCATTAACTTTTCACCCATACTAGCCCTTCCAAGTATTGGAAAGAGAACTGTGCATGCTCGAGGCGTAACGAGTGAAGGCTCACTCAACCTCATCCATTCAAAAAAGTACAAGCCACAATTGAGCAGATCCTCCTCTCCAAGCAACCCCAACACCTCCACACACTCTCTCTCACCAATCCTCCCTTCAAACTCCCCCAAAACCTCTCCCAATGTCACATTTTCTGGTAATTTCCTTGCTTTTTCCAGTATTTCACCGACAACCCCCTCTGCTCTTGTAATACTTTGGACTTCCTTTTTTTCTTCATCATCAGCATTATATTCTTCTTCATTTTCTAGAGTTGAATCAAAGATCGGGGAAAGGTGCCAAGAGGTTTTTCGGTTCTTGCTGAGAGATAACTTGCCTTGGCGATCTGGGTCAGGATATGAGGTTGGATCCTCTGTCCGTTTCTTGAAGAAATTCATAATTGGATCATTTGGCTTCGAGGTTGACCGTTCTTTATCTTGGCATTCTTCTGTGTTTTGTTCTTCCTCCTCTTCATCCTCACCCGCTTCATCATCATCATCTTCATCTTGTTGGAGAAAGGGAAGAAAAAGGGGAGAAGTACAGGAGCCTTTCACACATGCCTGCAAATAGTAGTCAACACAACAGAAGGCTAGACAAGAGGAACAACCCAGTCCTTTTTCCATTAGTTCACTTTTAAGTTTTTTACATGTTAAAGCCCATGAGGTGCAATGAAAAGTAACTTCTTGAAGAGAAAATATTGTAACAGAATAAGCAGTAAGAAACACATATTTCAACTCAACAACAGTTAAGCATACAGTAGTACAGCTAATCATTCAATTCCATTTAGAGAGGTTACCTCGGAGTATAACAGGCAGAAACATCATTTCTTTTGAACTCTTCATAGACTAATCATCTCCTTCTATTTTACTAAGGTTATTATAGTTTTGGTACTAGGCAGGTGAGCAATTTATGTGTTGATTATATGGATTTCATAAGCAGTTCAATACCTTAAGGATACACACCTAGTTTTCCCTTTTAAAATTAATGATCCCGTATGGTCTTTAATTAATGGTAGGGTGAGTTTACCAGTTAATAATGGACAGCATTTGTTTGGTGAATTTACAAATGAGGAGAATACGAAATTTAGACTGTCAAACGCACATTTGAAATGCAAGATGGAGAGGAACTTAACGATAGAAGGGTTGGGTTTGAGAGAACGCCATGAAGGAGACACAAAAGTGGCGGAACCAAAGATCCTCCATCTCTGTCTTTGTGGAAGAGTATTTGTACGAAGAAGAGAACGTTGTGACAGTCCGCAGCAGCCAAGAACTTCCATTGTTGCCGAGGAGCTCTACTTCCATTAATCTGGTTTTGTAAATATATAATCCCTCCTCTCCCTATTAAACTTTACACCTACTTAATATTATAATACGTGTGAAGTCAAAGTGTAATTATTTTAGGAAAATGCCACGTGTACACAGCATCTAACCCATATAACCCCCCACCCCCTGATTTGAATTGAGCCTCGTGCAGCTAAAAAAAAAAAAACCACCCCACTTCATTTTCTCATTTCCGCATCCCACATAAAAACTCCCCAAGAAACCTATTCTCTCCCCCAGACGATTTGCCCACCCGCGCCATCTTCCCGTCGAACTGCTTCAGCGCCGCCCGAGCCACTCCATCGCCGCCCCTCTCCATCGAAGTTCACCGATACTTCCACCCTCCCGTCCGGTGTCTGCAAGAAATCCAGAAGTCCAGAAGTCATACCGTCACCACTTCAGTCTTAATTGGAAATGGTTAGCACTTCATTGACGGAATTGGCTCAAAGGTAATTTTTTTAACCTTGTTCTGAGTTTATTTTGGAGTGACAGAGGACGGCCAGCACTTACTAAGATGTCTGTGTAGTGTGTATATTAGTTCCCTGAGATGTCTGTGTAGTTTGTTATATACGTTTGTGGTTCTTTTCACTTGTCTATATGGTTTTATTGAGATGTTTGTGTAGTGTGTATATTATTTTCCTGAGATGTCTATGTAGTGTGTATATTATTTTCCCTTGCCATTGTTTGTAGCAACAAGTCTTGAACAAAAAAATTGATGACAACGTGCAGTGGGGGGAGATCGCCATCTGGTCAAAACGAATTGGTCTTCATTTGATACGGTACGTATCTCTTTGCAGACAACTTCATGTACTAAATATGTTAATACAAACATTAATAAACATTGTGTTTAATGCCTTAGGTTTTGACACCCCTAAACGTGGGGAATTCGCATCGGGTGTTGCTTCAAATTGACCTTCGTGCAAAAATGGTGAGAGTATATGACTCCATGAGAAGTGGAAGGACTGTTGCATCCATAAAGGACTCGTGGGAACGCCTCCCCCACCTCCTACGTATTATTACGTGGAGAACAGAAGATGACCTCGCAGGCGACCTTTTTCCTTTGGAAGTTGTTGTCGTTGATGGTGTCCCCCAACAGCGGGGAGGGTAAGTGTATATTAATCCTTACCAACAGTTGTTACGTTAATGTCTGTGTAGTGTGTATATAATTTTCCTGAGATGTTTGTGTAGTTTATTATATATGTCTGTGTTTTTTGTGAGTTGTCTATACGGTATTCCAGAGACGTCTGTAATAGATATTGTATGTATTATTGGCAGGGGGTGTGGAATGATGGTGCTCAGTTTTGCGGAGCACCTCATGTTGGAGCTCCCCTTCATACTCGGTTGCGAGTACGAGAACATGGCGAAGAAGAGGTGTGAATTCGCCAATCGGCTTTGGAACTTGAAGAATGATGTAGAATGAAGTATTATGTCGAAGGGTGTAGTTTTTTTGTATATGTAATTAATATAAATACATTGGTGCTTACCTTTTTTGCATACACTGGTGCTTACATGTAGTATTTTGTACAACAATGGTGGTGCCATATTGTACAATATTGTTGCAATGTGCTTCCAATTATATTTTTGTCCGTGGCGAAGCTACAACATAGTCTGTATATTTTTGTATTGTCTGTATACAACGACGATTACCCTTTCATATGAAGAATGTATGTGGAACAAGTGTATTTTTGGCAAAGCAATGAATGGTATACAACAATATTTAAGACCGCATTTGTCTGTGTTTTTTCACATAGTATACAACAATATTCCTCTGCGCATTTGTAAATCTGGATTTGTCTATGCTGAATCATTTATATTGTCTGTATTTAGGTGGTCACTGTCTGTGTTTACACATAGTATCATGTGTTTGTATTTGTGGATATGTTGTCTATGCTGAATAATTTATATTGTCTGTATATAGGTGGTCACTGTCTGTGTTTACACATAGTATCATTTATATTCAAATGTATTTAAAATAAGTATTTAAAATAAGTATATGTCTCAGATCAGAGTGAGATTTAAATCTAAACCGTCTTGATATTGTAGTGTCATACTATTGTTGACTGCAGCATAATCATATTGACCATGGTACCCCCCTCCAATGTAGCCCTCTCCAGTGTACGGCTGTCCCGCGAACCCATCTCTAGCGTAGTAGCGTACTCCTGTCCAACATTGTCATTTGTGGTTCGTTTTTTGTGCGCACTTGGCTGGAAAAAAAATATAATCAACAGGTACGATATTATTGTCTGTGCGTATATGTCGCACGTGAACACTCTATCACTATTGAGTATTGACACTACATTACCCTTGGATCTATCCTTGGTAGATGTTCTTTTTCTAACCGGGAATCCTACAGTTCTACCATATTTTTTGTAAAACTCATACACTGCGTCTGTGCTTCCAAACTTCATGCCCACTTCCGGAACAACCACACTAACATCTTCTTCCTCATCTTCCTGTGCATATGCATCTGTGAATTTATACACAGACTAATGAATAAAATATTAATACATACAGACATTAGTAAATGCAATACAGACAAGTTCAAAGAATGATCGAACCAATTAGAAGAACAAATGAATAAAAGATTATAAAATGCAAGCAGTATCAAATGAATTATAGACAAGTTCAAAGAATGATCAAACAAATTACAAGAGCATATGAATAAAATAATATAAAATGCAGACAGTATTAAATGAAATACAGACAAGTTCAGATAATGATCAAACAAATTACAAGAACATATGAATAAAATATTATTAAATACAGACATTATAAAATGAAATACAGACAAACCAAATAGTATCATAATGACATTCTAAAACGCTCTACGTATTATACCCACATTCTAAAAGAAGTCTATGAACTTCATAATGTTCCCAAATTTCATAATACATAAATGTCTACACACAGACATTTGTAATTGTCTACATACAAAAACAGACAATATTATTTGTCCGTGTTTTGTGAAGCTTCATAACACCACCACATAACAACCATGAAGAAAGGACACTACGTAATCACCTACCTTGCTCAGCCTCCACAGTGTTACCATCCGGTGCGCCTTCATCGCCTTGCATGGCAGCCGGAGTGTGTTCAACACCTTCCCTCCGTCGTATCTTCTCCGTCGTGTCTTCTTCATGATCTTGCATCCCTCCCTCCGTCGCTAGTGCACACTCTTCCAGCACAGCTGGAGTGTTAGCGGGACTCGGGTCGAAAATATCCTCCCATATCCACCCCAGGCCCGTTTCGTCGTCTCCGCCATGCATGTTATTACCTTCCATGGCGTTCATCGTCGCAGCTATACACACTCGATCACCACCGGTAACGGAGAAGACCACCACTTTAGAGAAGGAAGAGATTACAGACAACTCCAAAAGAATGGGACAGACAGTTCGTTCCCTCGGATTACGTTTGGAATGGAGGAGAGTGGGTGGGGGGTTATATGGGTTAGAAAAGGGAGGGTGTGGCCTTTTATGATGTGTAGGGTGGTGTGTACAATGTTGTGTACACATAGCATTTTCCATTATTTTATAACTACGAAAGTCTATCTCATTTGATCTTATCTGGTCCGGAACTCAAAACAGTCCAAAGGACTACATCCTTAAAATAATTCATCTACGGATCTACCATTAGTAATCAAACTTTTAGACCTTTTAATTGATTGTTGGGAGTATATTAATTCTCCATTATTTTTTCTTTGAGACCTTCAAATATTTTCAATGATTTTTTTGTCAATCTTTTATGAAATAATGGCAAGAATATCACCTACAAGGTTTCAATGGACAAAAGTATGACTAATTTAGGTTAAGACAAAAAAGTGACCAGCCCATATTTCCCTCTCGTCTCTCCCATCTGCATCTACTGCGTCCAAGGCTCCCAGGCGAACAGCCTCCAACCACCTCTGCCGGATCTCTGCTTTCTCCGCATCCACATCTCGAGTGTTGACTCCATAGGCACCTCATCTCCTCCATTCTTCTCCTTTCTTCATTGTCTTCTTCGATTCTCTATGGAGGGGGTCGAAATCCTTCAGATCTGTAGATGCCGTGACAGAGATGTGGCGGACGGCTGCGAGTGTTGGTATGGCGACCGACGAGATCGATTGGAGTTTGATGATGACGAAGAGCGGTGGCTATGGCTGTGATGGAAGCTACGGTGACGGACTACGACCGGTGGTGCAGGGCTTGTGGTTGGGGGTGAGAGCTGTTGTCCGGGGTAGGTTGGTGGTTGGCTGGCCAAATCTGATTTACGACCACAAGCGACGTGCAGCCGCGTAGGGTTTCATGGCAGCGGTGGTAGGGCCATTGCAGGGGAATTCCAAGGGGCAGTGGTAGCGCCGTTGCAGGGGGTTGGGTTGGGATAGTGACAGTGTAGAGGCTGGAAACGTGTTGTTCAATTTCGTCGGAAAAGGTCGTCAGAAATGTTGCCGGAAAAGGTCGTCGGAAAGGTCGCCGGAAAATTCTTCAGTGGTCATAGTGACTTGTTTCACGGTAGTGACATTCGAAAGTGGCATGAAGATATGGCAGTGATATGCTGATAGTGACATGAATTTAGTAGTGACATCAATTTTCCCAAATATATGACCTTTGTTAGTCACATTTTTGTCAATATTTAAAAGTGGTCACATTTTTGGAAATTGATCTAAATTTAGTAATATCTAGGGGAAAACCCCATCTTTTATTACTCATCACAAGCATGTATTGAGTTGTGTTTCATAATGGGATTGAAAATGAAATTGACTAAATACCTAGAACTAAAACTTGTTAATTAATCTTGGATTAGTACGGGTGAGGAGGTAAGTAATAGGATGGTTTCTATACGAAAGGTTTGCAAACTAAAATTCGATTCTATCGATTTAGGATAAATAAAATACGAAAATTAATAATCTACCTCAATAGTGATACACAAGATAAAATTTAAGAAATTAAAAATTAAAATGTGATTTTTATTTGTCATTTTACGAAGATAAAATAAGGGTGAAATCAGTTTCATTGTTCGAAAGAAAATTAGGAACCATTTGAAGAAATGTTAGTTCAACACCGATTGTTTTAGTTTTTTTTTTTGAAGAACCATATAAGAACTGTTAAGATCATACCAATGCAGTTCTTGTATGTTTTCATTTAAATGTTAATAAATAAAAATATGTTTAATCATTATCTTGTTTCATCGTTAAACTGCTAAAACATGAAAATACAATTTCAAACTAATAAATGTTTAAATATTACGGAGTAATAAATAAACAAATTCTAACAAGAAAATCTAGAGCCCGTTCGGTAACATTGAAATTGGCTGAATCGGCCGATTCTGCTAAAATTTATGAAGTTCCGGTTGAAGTGATTGTATTGACTGATTCATGAAAAAAAAAATTAAAATATTTTTTATTGATAAATAAAATAAAATTTATATGAAAAATAGCTAAAATGATCTTCTACAGTAACTTCAGTCAATACAGCCAGAAAAGTAACTTCAATCTTACTTTTTCTTCTTATTACACAATCCAGCGTGTGAAATCAAATGTTACGTGTTTGATGAAAAAGCTGACTGATAAACCTAATAAGCTTAAAATGGGGGTCATCAAATGTACTCCTAGTGTTCTACACTTATGCTTGTAGAACTCTAGTGTTCTACAAGCATTATATTCATTTGTACCCCGTTGGAGGTTTTTAGGATCACAACTTTTCAATCGTTTTCATAAGTTGATCTAAGTCTAAAATTAAGATCTCATAGTTAAAATACTTTTTATATCTTTTAATTCTTTTTTCAAAGCTAGGTCTAAAGTAACTATAAAAAAAATTAAACTACAAATTTATTTATTATTGCATCAGATTATTTGACTTTTTTAAATCAAAACTATTCATAAAACAACAACATCCAAGCCTTAATCCCAAAAGAATTTGGGATCGACTAACATGAATCGATCAATGATATCGATGCAAAACAGAGAAGAAGGATAAGAAAGGGAAGAAAAAAAAAGTAAAATAAAACGAATAACATAAAGATAAATAAATATAAAATAATAAACAAGAATATAAGAAAGATAAAAGATAAAAAAGAGCATTAAAAAACTAGAATATAAAAATAACATAAGAATATACAAAGATAAAGAAGATAAACAATAAAAGAAAAAAAGGAAAAGTAGAAAAGATAAATAAAAAAGTGATTGCAGTTAACCTAAGTAGATCTATTCTCATGGACCTATTCTTACTTTTGTACACTCCACTTGGCTACACCCAAAGGCCATAGCTCATTAGGTCCCAAAAAGAAATGACAAAATTTTAACTTCATAATACTAATTAAACTGCAGGAATTGGAAAAAATACACGCACTTGGAACAAAAAGAACACTAAATTTGCACGAATGAAACATTCAAGCCTTTAAACCAGGCTTGGGCCTAATTTAAAAAGGTGCATAATACATTGAGCTAATTTGAACATTATTATCCATATCAAAGTCACACTCACATAGCTTGTTTGCCCCAGGACATGCTTAAACAATTGGTCAAAGTTAAATCAATGTGATATTACAACTGGTCCCATATAAACAAGAAATGATTACAATAACAAGTTTTGGTTAGATACACAACTGGTCCCATATAAAATTTGGGCATGTCTGCCGTAACATAGCTATATATCAACTATTTAAACCGGAGAAGGCCATGATAGTTGACGGCTCTCAACACCGCCACCATATTCACCACCACTTGTAACTTCTTGCTCCTCACTTTTTTCATGCCTCACACTTCTAATGGCCAAATCGTTAAAACTTGTTTCGGTTCTCCAGGGTGGAGGAGTCACACAATCAGAATTCTTCCTTGATCTTCCTCTCTGGGAAAGATCCTTGCTAGGTGTGGCAAGGGAGGATGAAGGACCAACCCTTAACGTTTGAAGTGTGGCAAATGACTCCCTCATTGCAGACATGGCTTCAAAGAACCTGGTGCATGAAGCCAGGGCGACGGGGATAGGGCGAAGCATTTCCTACATTTATTTGAATAAAAACAAATAACAATAATAAATATCCATTATTGAACCATCCAACTGTACAATCACAACATAAACGGTTTGGACCCTTAAAGATGTTCCCAGATATCAGATATGACAAGTTCACCCCCCCCCCCCCCCCCCAGTCCACCGACCCCCCAAAAGCCCCACAACCTAAACCCAAAGTAAAAACAGAAAAAAGGCACATTTAAAAGCAAAAAACAGACACAGAGTTCAACACTGAGAAAGTAGAATCGTTAGTCTTTTTTATGTGGGGGGATAGTATAATAATTCATATATAAATACTGACATTTTTATGAAGCCCTATACGGCTATACGACTCCACTATAGAGGCATATGGACTTATGGGGTTATGCTCAGGCCACATAAACCCATATTAATGCGGTCTCCATAGTAGGAGTCTTACATGGCTCCATAAAATTCTGATATAATACTCCAACTACTATAGTTGTGAAAGCAAAAGCACAATAATAATTTGACATTACTGCCCATATTGTTGGTGGGTCTCTAAAATTTTGGCTCCAATGAAAGTCAGCCGCAGATGCCGTTAATGCACTGTAGTCGCTAGCAGCCCTCATCAGTAACTCAGAAAATTGTTTCTGCACAGATTCGCACAGGTGTCAAAATAGCATCATGAAACAATGTATTTCCTTGGAGTTTTAAACTATATTTTATGAAACAGGTGTCAGGTATCAAAACAGCATCATAAAACAATGCAATTCATTTGTGTTTTTATACTCTATTTATGTGTATTTGTATGTTCATTTTTATGTTGGGAGAATAGGAGAGTAACTGATTAAGAAGTATTGGGGTAGGTGTTCCTGATTCTGGAGGCCCCAAGGCCCAAGTAATGGTTAGTGTAAACCATATGAACATTAATATAAATTGAAATACCAAGTAAAAACCTGATTTCCCATACCAGACAAAAAAAGTTTAAACAAAATTTATCAGTCCTTCCACAAAGAAATTTGTTTGGATTAAAACAAGAGATTCGCGATACAGATACAGAACAGGATGAGCAAGAGATACATGTCAAAAGTTAATGTTGTTATTATTACTATTGTTGTTGTTGTTATTGCCAGTACTATTACTACTAGTATTATTATTAAAGGATGACTCTTATAAGAAGTATGGAGTATAAGTTATGGAGTTACCGAGTTACTTTACGTCTTTACTAAAGAGTGATATTTTTTCCAGATTCTTTGTGCTAGTACTATTGAAGTGAAAATGTGAAATATCAATAAAAGATTGAGAGATAATGAGCTTATAATTCAATTTACCAAAAATGTACCTGATATTCTGCTTCCACCGGAATGCAATCTAATGAATATGGTTGTTGAAGCCGAGCAATAATGCGGTCCTACGTCCATAAAATATGATTTGAGCAGAGGATATAGCACTCCATGAAAAAAGATCAATACACTTGCACAATCAGGTAGTGGATGAAAAATATGACTTCACACTTCGATTATAATCCTTCATATAAAGAATTCGCTCTCAAAGGTCATCAAGAAAGTAGAACAAAGCCATATCTGGTAACAGATCAAAAGATGTAAACGATCAACATTAATATACTTATGTTTTGAAAGTCATGGCTTTGAAAAACAGTAATTGAAGTCTCGATCTGGTGGTAATAAGACCAAAGGATATAAATGATCCTCGTTAATACACTTATATTTTGAAACTCATTGCAATGAAGATTAGTAATTGAAATCTTTGAACATCTTAGAGGTTAAAGGTTAGAACTTCACAACAATCATACAATAGAATAAATTATTCAAATGCTCAGAATTATGCGTCCACAGATCTGTCATTAGGATCCCATTCATACTTCCCAATACTAAATACCGGAGAGCCACTGCTGTTTGATTCGCTGTCTGGGCCAGACTTCGGATCTTATTTGGATGTTTTGGCTGGTAGCTCAGAGAACATGAGAGATCAAACGGTAACTCTTACTGATGAACGAATCTGTGAACTCGTTAAAGTCTTCCAAAAGGAGCTGATTAATGGATGAGGGCTTGTAGGAATTCATAGAGCAAAGATTTTAAACAACTGCCTATCTTCCCGGTATCAATCAGATGAAGAAATACAGATATTAGCAAGCTCGTTTGCTCTGGTTAGTAATTGCTCCCATGGTCATCCTCTGTATGATATTAAGGCTGCCTTGAATACTTGATTTACTTTGTGTTCGTGGGAAAATTCACTATTGTTTGCTTGATAAAGGATTATACTGTAATAAAATGTGTCTTTAATTAGGCGGATTGACATTTATTTTATTATACTACATAATAAAATGTTTATGTTTTATTCCGTAATATTTATTTTTAATGGTATCTAAGGTTCCCTTTATAAAGTTCGACTCAGACCAAAAAAATGTTAGGATCGGCCTTGAATAGAGCTTGTATGTCCTTGCATTGATGTAAGAGATCCAATAAATACTTCTGGAGCAATATCCTACCAAATCCCCCCACCCAAAACCACTCTAACAGCGACAAAATCTGGCTAATCCAATATGGGCTTACAAATCTAGGACCCACTGTTCAGTAAGTTTAATTGAAAAATAAGTTAAACACTCTGTCTCTAGCCATGGAAATTCTGGAGAAACTTCTAACTTCTAAGGATGCTTGAATGCCATTCAGTGTTCCCGGTGCATGCTAGTTAAACTTCATACTAATATATCGATCATAGCTTCTTAAAATGATTTAAGAATTAATAATTTAATACTATTAATAAAACAAATAAGACAAATAAAACAAAATATATGTTAGCATGATATTTATTTTCAAAACCTTTTTCAATACAAGAATTTTGAGTCATTAAAAATGATTGCCAATTACAATTGAAATCATTAATAGTCTTCCATCGTATCACGAGTGAAATACTCGTGCATAACAGTAACAACCATAAAAACTCAAACATCAAATGCTTGAAAATGGAGTAGCAATGACCAGAGTAGTATTTGAGAACATTACCTTGTTCTGAATAACATCTTTCAATATAGTGGTGATTCTAGCCAAAGTTTCAATCTTTTTCTCCATTTCACTAACATGTGTCAGATGGGCGACGTTTTTGTCCTCCTAAAATGGGGTGGGGGTTTCTAACATCAGTGACAAATACCAATACATGAGATTTTTTGCATTGAAGTTGACAAATTTTGTTTGACTCAAGTCACTGGCTCACAGCAACCTTTCACTGAGAATATAATACAATCGAGAAGAATATGATAAACAGCATTATAACTTACAAGATCAAATTTCAAGATTCCCACCAATCAACTAACTACTCATGGAATTGAAAATTAAGCAACTGATTCAAATATTGGAGGGGAGATTGTCTGACTATGTAAGAAGCCTAACTTTTTTATAACGATCTACATGGGTGTAGTGACTAGCTGGGTGTAAGAACACTGAACCTAAAGTTGAAGAACCTTTGCAATAGAATCAAAAGCATTAATGAAGAAAATAGCAGAGTTTCTTTACAGAAAAAGACTTGCATCAGATATGTTACTTAAAGTATTATCGTGTGGTGAGGGACGAAATGCTAGTCTATATAATATTGAGTAAACAAATTAATACCCTCAACGTTCATGCAAATGTGATATGTTACTTATATAAATTTAGTAGCCAGTTAAAACTAGATAAAACATAAAAGAGGCGTTCTTAACCAAAAACCATCATTTATGGTAAAGAAATCTCACTAATTTATTATATGACACCTTCCATGATTAATGAGGATGCAACAAATAAAATTGTCATTGCATGAAGGTAAACTCAAAATTAGAACTAAAGGCGCACTCCATATGGATGTAAACAATATAGTAACAATACACATTATCACATTTTAATGATGAAGCCGAGGGGGACAGGGTCAATTGGTTAAAGTCAAAATGTCATGTATGTGCAGGATTCAAATAGCAAAAAGGTTATTTTGTAAATGGAACCATATGTAATCATGTTCATTTAAGCAACTATTAAAACTTAAGGCACCTATGCAATTCCTATGTATTTTGATGTTTTGCTCCTATCGAAGTACACACTGTGGGTAGGAGTAAATTCATCTTTTGGTACCTTGGGAAAACTGGAAAAGTGACACTTCTACTTTTAGGGCCCATTTGGTAACATCGAAATTGGCTAAATTTTCTGAAATTTGAGAAATTATGGCTGAAGTGACTGAATTGACTGAATCTGTTGAACTATGAAAAAATTATATTTAAATATATTTAACTAATAAAATTAAGGAAAAATTACATGAAAAATAGCTAAATGGTGTTCTACAATAATTTCGGCCAATTCAGCCAGAAAAGCAACTCAAACTTTATTTATTTTGATTATTACTCAATTCAATGCTCGAAATCAAAAACTAAATGTTTGGTAAAAAAGTTGGTTGATAATGCGAATAAGCTGAAATTATGGGTTACCAAACGGGCTCTTAGTTTGAGTTTGATTGCTCTCATTTGTATTCTTTTTACTCTAAACGGCGATTTCTTTTAGCTCGAAATGCCCTCAAACATACAAAGCTCATTCACTATTCATATCAGGTTGGGTAGGCCATTATCAGGCTCAATGAATAACTCAGTACATAACTAGATATTTCAATTCTACATTCTCACGAGACTCAAGTCATGCATCATATTCAGCCTTAATGTAAAGGGTGAGGGTCTCCAGCTTTTTAAACTAAAATGGAGTTATAATTTTGTCAAATTCAAAGACTAGAGGTGAAACACAAGTACACAACGAAGTCAAGAGCTCAAATGGAAATATCATGGTAGTTGAGAGGTCAAAAGGAGAGTTTGCTCGTATAGATAGTGCTACCTTCGTCCCAAAAAACTTTGTCATTCCAAAGAATTTGAACCATGATTTTGATTAGTATGATATTATGGAAGTTATAAATTTTATACTTTTATGAAAGTACTTTAAACAAAGAACATTTTCATATAATTTTTATATTATAAATAGTTTCCCATTAAAAGATATAGTTGGTCAAAGTTTTGTGGGACAGAGGTAGGATTTTGCAAGCCATGGTCCAACATATACACGTGCAATAACATGATAGATGATAGCAATATCAGGTATATCACCTTCCTACCCTGAAGCTCCACTTGCAAGTCTGCAATTTTTCTTTGGACGTCAGTGAGCTCCTTCAAAACCGTTATCAAGTCATCACTCTTTTCACCAGAGCCACTGGACAAACTTTGGATCTCCTCCTAAACCACCCGAAATGAAAATCAGAATCACAACCCATTCGAAACTCCCATTCACATGCATTAAAGAAAAGTTTCATTGGACTAAACATAATCCAAAATGAACTTCGCAAATCAAGAGAATTAAAGCCGAAACAGTTCCTAAGCATTTTAGCAACTCTAATCACAACATTAATCGAACCTGTAACCCTTAAAGATACATTTACTTAAAAAAAATACCAGTATGAGATGGAGTTACCTGTGACGGAGGGGGAGAGACGGCGAAGCCAAGATCAGAGGCAATAGAAAGGGCATCCGACATCCCACCAAGGCGTCTCACTGCTTTCCGTCCGACCCATGTTGAGTCACTTCCCATCATCGAAATCTCTCCCTCCCGGTTTTGCGCAAAAATGACGGTCAAATAAAATTGAAGAACGGTTTTAGTGTTTTTCTTTTTTTCTTTTTTATAATCTAGGAGTCTATGAACTAGACTCCAAAAGACAAATACACTTACATCACCTTTCCCTCCTCCCACCACACAAATCCTTGGTGGAATCGAACTCAAGACCTGCCACAAAGGAAAGACTTGGGGGTCATCCATTGGACTACAACCACCTTCCCTAGTGTTTTTCTTCCATATTGTACATGGAGTATTCCGTATTACTTTGATAGAATTAAGAGTGAATAGTGTTTTAAAATAAAAGTACTTTTGATGGAAAAGTTAAAGTTGGAGCGTTTGCTTAAAAGGTACAAATATATCCTTATAGTATAGATGTGAGAACAAATACATATTGTTCTATTTTTTGGAACAAATATATCAATGAAGTATACGTGAAATTGCATATATAACCTTGAACTTCTTAAAACGTGCATGGAACAAATATATCCCTGAAGTATATGTGAAATTGCGTATATAACCCTCAACTTCTTAAAACATTCAAAAATACCCCGCATGTTCTTATAAAGGAACAAATATACTCTTATTGACTTTAAATTAATAAAATAAATTTCAAAAAACATCAAAGATCAATTAAAAATTCGAAATTAAAAATAAAATAAAAATTAAAATTGTACTTATGCCCCATTCTCCCTTTAGAAATTACTCCAAATAGGACTAAAACTATGGCAAAAACTCAAAATAGGACTCACTATGTTTTTCTTTTCAAAATAAGACCATATTAGTCATATTAGAAACATACCTATTTTTTTATTCCATTCTTACCCTTCCTTTAAATATGAGTTAATTAAATATTTAATTCATAACAAATTCGAAAAAATTCAAAAAATCGTAGAAAAATAATTAAAAAATTATAAAATAACAAATTAATTTTTTTTTACATTTTTATTTTTTTAAAAAAAATAATAAATACTTAAACTCCATAAAAAAAATTAAAAAAAATTGGATTCTTTTCCCACCGCCTGTACTACCTCCCTGCGCCACCATCTCCGACCGGTGAAAAAAATGTCATTTTTCCAAAAAACTGCTATTTTTTCTAAAAATTCCAAAAACATGGCATATTTCTCTTTGAGAATGCCAACATTTTCTTTGTTTTGTGCCATAAATATGGCATTCATAATGAACTTGGCATTTATTTCCCTAGTGACTGGAGGGGGTGGTGCAGAGACGGCAGAGGTGACGGTGAATTTTATTTTATTTTTTTGAATTTTTTAGATAGCATTTAGATAGAGATAAGATTTGGCGATAAAATTTGGCCTAATGACTAGCCTTAAAGTTTGAAGTATTTACAAAAATACCTAGAAGCAGATAGAAGCATTAACTTAGCTTCCTCGCATCCACCTTTTTGCTTTAAAGTGATTAATATAATAAGTTGGACTTTGAAAACACTTTTTTAGCTTTTTTAAGTTAAAAGCCAAAAATCACATTTTTAAGTTTTGGAAAACACTCCCTTGGTTTATTAATAATTAGTACTCCCTCCATCCCCCTATAATTGTCCCATTTTTTCATTTTTGGATGTCCCCTATTATTGTCTCATACCATATTTGGTAACATTAGTGTGACTCTAATTCATTCTTATTTTAATCTCACTTTATGATCTCATTACCATCTATATAATTCAATTTTTCTTAAAAATCGCACCACTCCCTTCCATCCCAATATCAGGGGTTGGAGGGAGTATAATGTTGATCATGATTTTCTATTAATATACTACATATATAATCAAATTTTATATGTAAAATATTATTATTTTAATTAATATGAATTCCCAAAATATTAACTTTTATATTAATTACTAATATGTAATTAAATATAATTACAGTCAAAATTATATATTGGCAAACATGAAAGTCAAATTATTGCTATTAAAAAAGAACAGGGGTAATATAAATTTAGCGCATTAGTTCCTCTAATTTAAAAAATGTGTCAAACTTTCATGTGTTCCAAATATTCATGTGTGTAACTCCCTCTATGAATAAAATTAATGTCAAATAAATGGAAAATAATTAGTTTTTTTGCATAATTTATAGATATTGAGAAAGTACTCGCACATTCAATTATAATGTGCTTTTGAAATTGTTATATTTGTTCTTGGATATGGTTTTGCGCATTAATAATTATAGCATATGGAGGATTGACGCGTTTTTTAAATTACATGGACTAATGCATCGATTTATATATGACAGACTCACAGTGAAGTTTGGTGCACAAAACCCTTTGTTTTACTTTGTTTTTAATCCTCTGTAGTTCTTAGAAAAAGTTTTGTTTCATGCCCAAAAACATTGGTGGGACTCCGAATAAATCATAAATGTGTAAAAGCATTGAGGTTACTCACTCCCGAGATGAATAAATATCTCACCTCTGTGGCAGTCCAATTCATGCGGTCTTTGTCAACGCATGTATTGCTTGTGATAGAAGTCAATATAACATTTGAATAACTATATACTACCTCCCTCCCTTGAAATTTTACCAAAGTTGACTGGCACGGAGAATAATAAAGTAAAAATTGTGTGATTGAGGTTTGAAGGAGAGAGAAATAATAGAAACCACAAAATAATTGATTAAAAGGGAAAGTGCCAAAAAATTTTGGGACGTCCAAAAAAGGGAAAGATGACAAAGTTTTAAGGGACGGATGGAGTAGTATATACACTCTATTCAGGGGTGGAGACGGGGGCTGGCGGTGGTCACGCCCCTGCAAGAAAAAATTTGTGATGTATTTATATATGTATAAATATTTATAAGTAGTAAAAAATATAGTGAAAATTTAAGTTTTGGCCCATGCAATATAAATTCCTTAAGACTCGGCCCCTGTAATCTGTCAATCCTGCTCCGCCACTGACTCTATTACTGTGAGCAATAACAGTGACAATGTGACATGAATGCATTGATGCTCTTCTTTCATTTTGCGTGTGATTCTCAACTCTTTTCATTAATATGCCACAAATACGAACTGTCTGAAATCCAAACTGATTTGGAAAAACCGGACTCATCCAAAACCTACCCGTGTTCACCCTTATTCGAAAGGAAAATAAAAATTCAATGACTGATGTGATGCTCAGAAAGACATGTCATCATATCATATTGAAATTTTTTACCAATGCGAATGATTTAAATAGGATATCTTGCTTTGCAAAAAAAGGATGCCTTGCGATTGGGAACGTGATTTTGAATTGCCATCAATATGCGTATTACTTCCATACTATACAATATATGTACACACAAACTTTTGAATGATTAGAGCGCAAAAAGAGAAACTGATTTGTATGGCAAATGCCTCCGTGTATATGAATATAAAAGTAACATAAAAAATCAGGCTAGTTACTTCTTGAGTCCTCGGCACCTAGTTTCCTGGACCTCCTTTTACGTTCCAAGTATTGAACGAAATCGTGAGGCATAGGCCGGAAGATGGACTGGAAAACCCTGTAAGAAAAATAAGGTAGCAGAGCAGATATGACAACAAGAAGCGTGAGGAACCAATAGAAGGGACTCGGGGCGCAAGCTTCCACAAAAACCCGATATGCTGTGTTAGATATGTCGGGTGGCAAAGCACCATAGAAGACCAAAAACAAATACCAGATAGCTATGCTTCCCCATATGAAGATGTGTTGGATCCATGTAAAGTAGTTAATACAAAGTGCCATTTGACAATTGACAGTCCACACCACACAGGAATATATCATCACCCCAAGGACTTCGTAGTCAACAGGTTGACCATCGAGCCGAAATGCTTGATGTACGATGGAGTTAGTTGTGAGGTAGAAGATGATCATAGCACATAGAACTCCATTTAACATCCACCCTAGGATGCGGGACCATTTAAAGAGCATGTTCTGGTTTCCCTCCTTGTAGACCATAGGATGCTGTGGATGATGATAATGATTAAACAATTACGCATCATTTGGCACGACAAAAATTATAGCTATTAGCGTTTTAAAAGGAATATTTTCATATAAACTGCTGGTTGGTTAGTGAGGAGGTTATCCAGTTGTTATAGGATCAGGCTGGTCTTATTTCATAAGCTTCTCTTAGTGTACGTGAGTATGGTAAAACTTATTTTGGAGCTTATAGTTTACTTTAAGCTTTTAGTAAGCTATCATTGGTAAATAGGACAAGAGCTTCAAATAAGCCCTTATTTGAAAAGCTGTCTCCTGTAACTTTTCAGAAATAAGCTTCTATGTTTTTATTTGTTCCCCTAATAGCCTTATTCTTTCACATAAAAATTACGTAGTACTCCCTCCGTTCCTAAAAATACTTCCCACTTTCCTTTTTGGGTTGTTCCCAAAAATACTTCCCACTTTCCCATTTTGGACAATTTGTGTGGCTCACATTCATTTTACATTTTTCTTACACAACCACAACCATACATTTCCACTTTATTCCACTTTCTTAATAAGCGTGCAAAGTCAAACCGGGAAGAATTTTTAGGAACGGAGGTAGTAGCATTTATCCATCTATAATCAATATAAAGGATGCTCCTTTATGAAGTTACCTACCTCAAGACAAAGACGATCAGACAAATCTTGGTCAAAAACACCGATAGCAATCACGGGAAGTGAAGTGAAGAATACATTATATAATGACATATACCAATCATTGTAAGCAGCCCGTCCAGAGAAAGAAGTAAATGCCTCAAACAAGAAAAGGGTGAACCCAAATGTGATATTCTTATAAAAGAAGTAACATATCTGCACCCACCACCAAAAATAAATTAAGAAAAATATAAGAATAAAACAAGTCTCACGAAATAAGCACACATAGCCACTAAGGTTCTGCCCAAGCCTCTTGCAAAGCGGCAATCAGGGGCGTAGCTAGGGGAGGGCCAACCATGGCCCCGGCACAGCCCAAATTTAAAAAATGTCTAAATTTTTAGGGTAAAAATTCTTTGTAAATTTTTTTCCAAAAATATTCTTTGTATTGGCCCAGTCCGGCCCAGTGCCCTTGCTCCGCCCCTGGCGGCAATGGACTCAGTAACATGCTGCTTAGGTTTATTGCTTCCAATGTGTTCCCAAAAACAAATTTGACATCAACATACATTTTGTGGTACTAATTTGTCATACCAGAAGATGCATAAAACATGAGACTTACCATCATAGATATTCTGCGATAACACCAGTGGCCGTGAACCAACAACAGCCGTTCTAGAAAACAGAATTGAGCTATTGCATAGTCACTGGCCATGACAGCCTAAATAGAAAAGAGATTCATCAGTTGAATAGTACAAGACAAAACAATTTCATTGTACAATAAGAATAAGCTCACACCACACAAATTGGTGCTGAATGTAAAATGCAGTCTTCAAATATAATAAAAAGGAAAAATATGCTCAGACCACACAAATATTGTTTAATGGAAAAAAGCAGTCTTCAGACAAAAATGGAGTGAAGATGCCACGATAAGCATACAGAAATTCAGAAATAACTCCTTTCCTAAAAACCAGTAAGCAAAATTTGACTTTTGGAACACCTAAATGTTTTTTTAAAATATATCCTGCCAAGCCAGATTCTTTCTGTTCAACACTCGAGTCACATGGAAAGCTTAAATGTGAAAGAAAATAATCAAAGACCTGCATCCCCTCAACCCCACTTATTCCAACCCCAACATCAGCCTCTTGAAGCATGCTGACGTCATTAGCCCCATCACCAATTGCCAGTGTCTTTCCACCACTTCCTTTCACCAATGCTGTTACCTGCATGTCTTCAAACATTTTGGTAAGATTATTCAGACTCCTTGAGAAATAGAATTGGAAAAGATAAGAGTGATAATGTGAGTGAAAGTGTATCACTCACAAGAGCTTTTTGTTTAGGTGTAGAGCGACAGCATATAACAGATGCACATTTCAATGCAAGGTCCAAAAATAGCTTCTTCATACACTCTCTGAGAGCAAAAGATAGTGCAGTTCCATCTATAATTAAACCAACCAATTCCGTACTTGATTCAATTCGACTCATTCCGTCATTTACTTGCGTTGTTACCCTTCTTAAATCCTATGAAGGTTGAGCATTGTAAAGATGAAAGTGTTGGATTGATATGAAAATACATCTATGATATATACCTCAGCGTCCTTTTCTCCTTGACTTTCCAAAGTACTTTTTTGTGGAGAATCCAGAGTAATAATAATCAGCTTCATGCCTGGCCTTAGTAAACTGCAAGCATACCTACAAGGATTTTAGAATAAAAAATGACTATGATATATTGCGATGTTTTTTTAAGTCAAGGATGGAAAAACAAGCACATGAGTTCCAAAAACATAACGGTCGCCCTACCCAATATTGATTGCAGTCTCCATCTTATCACCAGTTAAGACCCATATCTTTATCCCAGCAGATGTGAGCTTGTTGATGCATTCAGGGACCTACACAAGACGAGAAACCAAATGTGCATTTGATCATTGAAGGATGAAAGAATCATCAGTATAAAGGACAACACGATGACTCTCCTTGTATCTATAAGATGGCTATGTAATTAAGAATGAAAAAGTTGTAAGTTTGGTTATAACCCCTTTTTGAAGTTTATCCTCAATGGCTGTGGCTCCAAGAAGAATTAGGTCCCTCTCAATTTTATCAGCAGCAGCAGCTACTAAAGCTTCTCTATCATCTGAAGATACCTGAGCACTTAATAACTCTTCTTCCCATGATTTGAGTTCTTCTACACCAAGCTCACGGTATGCAATGACTAATGTTCGCAGTCCTGCATTGGCGTACTGCTCGATATGTTCCCTAGTTTTATCCTCAAAAATCCGTCCATCTTTTGAAAGCTTTTTAAACATCACGCTGAAATTTTATCAAACAAAAAAACAGAAGAGTGTCACATGGCACCAAAATGCAAACTTAAAAGACTAAGTACTTAGTTCAGACGTAATGTGTGAATAGATAGTAAAGAAAACCTGTCTGCACCCTTGCACAAGAGTAAAAATTTATTTTCAGGAGTGCTTATAATCACAGACATTCTCTTTCTCGCAGGGTTGAACTCCAGGAGGTGAAGGACCTGGTATGATCTGAAGATGAGGTGGTTCACAGCATACACTGTTAAATTAACAAAGTACAAAATAAATGTATTCAAGTAACTAGACGTGAGGTATAACATGGTAAACTAGGACGTGAAATTTAAGTTCTGCTATTTCTTATCATATATCATGTCTAACTATTTTCCTTGACATCACGTGGGATAAAAATATAAAATAATGATCTTCACTGCTTAATAACATTCCCTCTCATACCAAGATGGTCAGGGTATTGTCTGCTATTTGTTAGGCCAGGCTTACATAATAACTGATAAATCCTTCCCATGCCCAGCATGTTGGGGAGCTTTTCCCATTAGCATCTATCCTTTCATAATCAGATTTAATACACACACACACTACCTCTGTTCTTAAATACTTGCAACAAGTTGAATTTTACACTATTCACATGCTCTACTTTGACTACATTTTATTTATTAGTGTATTAGATTTTTTTTAAATATCATTAAATTCATCTCATTTAAATTTTCAAAAGTCTTAATAGGGAATTAAATATATTATGGTCTAAGTCGTGTGTTGGAAAATGTGAAAATGGAAGTGTTGCAACTAAAAGAAGATGGAGGAAGTGTGTGTGTGTGTGTGTGTAAAATGTTCCCAATGCTGGGAGCACTCTTCACCTGCTGGCTGCTACCCATATTTGAAACAGTTATAAGGAAAAGGTAGGTGTCGTTATATGCTTTTTTGTACAAAGGGAGGGGGATGATGATGAAAAGCAAAACTCCCAATTTAAATTCGTATAAAACTAAATTTGCAAAAATAACCTGTCAATCTGTCTGGAACCTTCTCGATCCCATTCATGCAACCAAACAGTAGTTTGTGTTCTTCTAAAGAACTCAAACCCGAGCTCTTTAGCTGCAACAACAAAAGCAGCTTCATCGGGTGACTCTGCTTCATAAGATATATGACCTGGTGTTTTCAAATCAGGGATGACAGTGTGACAAATAGCCAACACACTAAAGAATTTGTGTATCGTATCTGCATGAGGTTCTTTAGCCCATTGACCTTTCATTATGCGTTCATCTTGGAAATTGAAGCCTTTAATTGATTTTCCAGAGTCAAAGTTATGAGAGTTTGGCTCTAATGGATCAACATCAGTACTGGTGTGTTCGGGTTGAAAACTTCCTTTTCTCTTCGCCATGGCTCTCTCCACTTCAGTCACAACCCGGCCATAAGAAACTCCTGCTATTGAACACTTGACAAATTCCATAGAGTTGCATGTTAAAGTGCCTGTTTTGTCAGAGAGTATTGTTTCAACCTGTCCAAGTTCCTCATTCAAATTAGACGTTCGGGCATGTGCAGGCTTATTTGTTTCCCTGTAATACATATGCTGGTCTTGATTGATGAAGACACTTTGTAAAACCTTTACGATTTCAATAGAAACATATAATGAAATTGGAATTAAATATCCATACAGCATAAGGGCTGTCAGGAAGTGAAGAAATGCAGCAAGTGAAGCTCTTTTTGGATCATAAAAGACAGTTGCTTTGTCTGGTTCTAGATACCACCTCTTGTACCCCTGATTGCCTATGTCGTTTTTAGTCCACAGTCCAAAGAAGATGGACCCAACGGAAGCTATCATAATCAATGTACCAAAGAGGACGTAGATTATTTTGTCCATTCTTTTCTCAATTGCACTCCTCTTAGAAGGCGGGTCTCTAGCATTCTGCATGACTTTTGTGTCATGACCGGCAAAAACAGCCACTCCATAGATATAATCAGTATTCTTTAATTTAGAACCTCTCAGAAGCAATTGATGGACTGAAAGTGGTCGTGGTTGCTGATTGTCATAATAGAGAGTGCCAACAAATGAATAAAGGTCTTCATTAGGGTCCTCACACTGGATCCTTGCTTTAAAATTCTGAAAGTCTTGAATGGAAGCTGTTTCGCTCAAAGCATGTTTCACCTTCAGATTAGTCTCCCCATCAAGATTTGCTGTTTCAACATAGCAAATTCCATCTTCATAGTTCGATGAAATCAAGAGAAGATCCGCTGGAAAGTATTCATCCTTTTTAACCTTAACAAGCTGGCCAACTTGTATCTTCTTCCATACACTTTCTTCAAACCCGTGGTTACTGGTACACACTAAGACCTTCCTGTTGTTAGCTTCTACGTCCTGGAAAGAAAGCCGGGCACCAAAAGGCACCGAAATAACATGTAAACAATTATTTATTGTAAAAACATTACTAACCCACTTAGCACAATAAAAAGGAGTGATGAATAACTGGAACAATAAAAAGGAATTCCATGCAATAAAAATTATGTAGTACATAGTAGTAACAGATAATTGCACGTGAACAATTCTTTATCAGCTGGTCAGAATCTGATGTTAATTAATTGTAATTATTTCTTCTGCAAACCATCTTTTCCCCCTTAAACTTTAGACCCAAGAGTGTCTCATGCTAAAATTTAGCTTGCAAATGTCTCCTATCTGAATACGTCCAATCACTTTTATTCCTTTGGCTATGATAATCGTTTTATCCTTTAATTCTCTAGGATGATTTGATAACCAAGTTTCACGGAATGTCTAATGCATATGTGTATGAAAATATGTTGATGAAGGGCACAATCATGTGGATTTACTTGGTAATTGTATCTGAGAGGCCCCTGGAGTCTGGACTATAAGATTTTTTTTCCAGCATAATCTATATATCAATGTTTGGTCAGTTTAATTCCTGTATTTGCAATATTCATAAAAATTAAATACACAAACTCGCTTAGTAAATGGAGTGGGGCTTACCATGTTGAGTTGTTAACACAATAAGTGCATAGCATTACATGCCACTCTATGGACGCGGCAATGTCATGTTAGAGTTTTAATAGTCCATATTAATTAAATTCAATACTAAATAAATAATAACAGGATTCAGAACACCTATCGTATCACAGTAACTACATCCGACTCGACTTTTACCACCTTTGGGACAATTTATTCTTGGAAACTAAGAACGTATATTGAAAAAAGCAAGTATCCTGAAGCATCTATGCCATTACTCTATCCTTGTGTCCTTGGAATGTTAGAGTTAAAGTTTTTTTATTTTTATGTATATAATTTAAAAGAAAAACACATAAGTAATAATGTAAGCAGACAAAATTATTTAACAGACCAAAAAAGGAGCTGTTTTTATTTCCTCAATAAAAAAACATCAAAAAGTCATTTACCTGACTTCTGCGTTTCCAGTCTTCCACGCCTTCTTTGGCCATTGTTGCACCAATGACCACCATCAGAGGAAACAGAACACTACTAGCTGTATAAGGGGCCAACGGGCTAAATGAGACGAAAGCCACTACAAGGAAGTATATATTTGCAACCCTCCTGAATTGCTCAAATAAGGACTTGGGGATAAAATTAACTGCTGTATACTTTGTAGTCTGGACATAATTATCTCTGTGCTGCAAATGTTCTGTGTTATCAGGATCATTACAATGAACAATCCTAGAGTAACCCTTCTTCCCAATGCGGTCATGCTCCGCTCCAAATTGACTTGGAAAGCACGAAAATGTATACGGGAAACACCACATTTTCCCACCATCTGTCATCTTTACCCTCTAGTCTCCTTCAAAAAACCAGACTAGTTTGATTCAAAGGAGCATAACAGAAACTGTGATTTAACTCCCTTTAGACGCAAAAGTAATTACAATTAAGTAAGATACAAACGTTACAGGACTTCACTGAGAGAGCAGCAGCATGTAACTTAAGGATTAAGAGAAACAAACAGAGCAAGAAAACCTAAAACCATATTGAGAAGTCAATAGATCCTAAAACCATAAAACTGCCCATCCCACAATTCCTTTCTTTCCTCTCAAGTAGCCCTAATAGATACCTTCTCCTTCTTCAAGTGTCGGTGCAAAACCATGAACTTTCAGCCACGAAAAAAAACAAAACTTGGCCCGACTTTTCTGTTATTGAGCAGTATTGTGAGCTCAAATCTTCCTAGGAAACTATGCAAAGCACATATATCGAGCTGCTAATTAAGTGATGCTAAAATTCTGGCGCTGGTATTCCCGCAATTCCTTTCGTTGGTCTCAAGCCTTCCTCGGGCTGCATACCTCAGCAGATACGAAACTTGGATGAAGCATTTCAGCAAACTTGTAACGTGCATAAACGAAGAGAAAGTGATGTAAGGATAAAAGAAAGATGGATAATCAAATGTGAGAAGAAGGGGCGTCGCTATTAGTTGTAATAGTAGTTGGCCAATTAACTACTCCCTGTTCTCTGTTCTGTTCTGCATTCATTTGCCGTTAGCAAGCAAAGAGTGCTGATAAATGAAAAATGAATTAAAAAATGGATAAAGAAGACCGCGAACAGGCGAGTAGGTCGCCAGCCCCACTACCTATTTGTTTCCCGGAGTTTCTTATTTAGTACGGAGTATTTTATTTTTGAAAAAAAAAATGATTGAGGTACTTACAATTTTATAAAGTGTACACCAAGGTCGTTAAAGTCGTGTTTTTAGATCGATCTAAAAATCTAATCGTAAATCGTAAGATTTCACTAAATAAGTAAATTTTTATAAAGATATTGGATAAAACTAAAATTCACAACATGCATTGATAAATTAAATCATAATAAGTTTAAGTCTAATGATAATGTCTTAATTTATAAAATGTGTAAAATAATCAATAACAAAATAATGATATGTAATCAAAGAACAAAAATCATTCAACAAATAAATACGGGGTATGACTTTTTAAGCAAATTTTACAATAAAAAATGAATGGTACTCTGTATTATACGGAGTGCTATGAATGGTAAGAATATAAGTAGTGCGTAGTAATACAAGCCGTACTTTGAAATGTTTATTTTTGAAGAAAACAATATCTGCATCTTGTTTGAAAAGCAAAGAAATTTTAGTGGAACACTCCTTTTGTATCCCACACCGGATAGCCGTCACAAAAATTCCTAGTTATAAATAAAAGTAAGTGACAAATTTACTCTTACTTTTACTTTTTTCTCATTAGCTTAAAGGCTTCTACTTTTATGATGAAGAACAGAAGTGTAAAAAACAAGCATCATTTATTGTCATTTCTTAATCTTTGTGACGATCAAAGTTTGCAATTTAATTTGGGACGGAGGGAGTATATTGCTCCCTCCACGATGTTAGACTTGTGATTGGCCTGTGGTACCTTGGGCCGTATTCTAGTCAAGCATTTTAGTTAACATGTTAGCAGGCTTAGTAACGGCTTGAGTCATTTGGTCGTGCTGGGCTGTGCAGTAAGAAGTTTAAAAATCGTGAAATCCGATAAGAATCTCGATTTTAGCGGTTTTAATCCGATTCAAGTACGATTTTGCATGATTTTCGTAGATTCCGATTTTGGATACGATTCAGATCGATGTTATACATTTGAATGGTAAAATCATACTCCCTCCATCCCAAAATGAACTTCACAATCACTATTCAAATGGTCAACTTAAATTACTCTTAATCTTATGTTTTATATATCAAATTTTTATCAAATTTATATTTTTTTATCAGCCTTTGTAGCAATTTTAATGTAGTTTCTCAATATGTAAATTCTATTTACTAAAAGTAATCTGAGTATGAACAGGGATCGAGTTTTTTTATCGTCGGTTAAGCATCGTAATCCGAAATGAGAAGTTAATTTTGGGAAGGAGGCAGTACGATTTTACGATTCAAAACGAGATTTTAACAACCTTGATGTACACCATATAAAAGTGATGGAGTATATGTGTCTAGGCCCCAGGACCCACATACTCAGAAGAACAGAAAGCACAAGCCACCATGCAGCGCCCTCGTCGGCCAAAGGACCCTCGTCGGCCGAAGAGGGACCGACTCAGAATATGATCCTGAAGCCAGGGAACTAGGGTGTCCTCGTCGGCCGTGCCTTCATCGGCCGTGCCCTCATCGGCCGTGTCCTCGTCGGCCAGACCCTCGTCGGCCACGAAGGTCACGCAGAACTAGATTTTACACTTATTCATTTATATATACCATCATTTACTTTGTATTCGGCCCAATAGCGGTCCAGTTGTAAATGGGCCTCCCAAGCCCAAGGCTTGGGAGCCCAGCCCGTATTTTTCCTATAAATACTTCCTCTAGAGGTAGTTGTGGGGGTTACAAAATCATTCTATTGAAGTATTTACTTGCATTTCTCTCTCTAGCTCTCACTTCTCTCTAGATATATACTCTATCATTTGGTGCTCTCGTTGAGAGCTAGAACAATCAAGTTAGCACCCTTCATCGCTACCAAGCACAGCTAACCACTGATCATGGGGAGAACCAAGTCAAACCGCAACCTCGTCAGCAAGGCCATTCCTGAGGACCAGAAGACCAGGGAGCATGAGGAGGACGCCACGGCCGACCAGGTCGGTGGAGGGGACGTCTTCTAGGAGGCCATCAACCTCACGACGGACCTACGCAACCAGCTCAACGGCGGTGGCCCTGATGCCCGCATCGGCCTAGATAAGAAGCGCGCGGAGAAGACAGACCACGCCCCGGCCCAACCTATGGCCGCGGCTTCTCCGTCTGTGGATCCACAGGTCCAGGCTGCGCTGTCGGTCATCATCGCCAGTTTGGCTCAGAACCCCGCCGTCCTCAGCGCACTCTTGCCAAGGACGGGGGGAACGTCACTCCACCTCCTCAGCCCCAACCGTTGGCCGTCAGGTTAGGCAACGATGAGGGGGTGATAGCCCAGGACACGGCGTCGTCCCACTCCCACCCTGTTTCCCCTCTTCGGCCTGGGCAGACCCCAGCGCGTGGAAAAGCCTCTGCCTTCAATAGGCTAGGTGAGCGTCGGCCCGGCTCGCCAAGAGAAAGCTTGGGGTCTGTGTCCTGGACAGCGGACCAGCCTCGCCTGGACAAGGGCAAGGGAAAGTTGCTCGAGGACGACGTGCACCACCAGATCAATGCGGCCCACGACGAGCGCGTGAAGAACCAGCAGGGCGCCGCTGCAGCCGCCAGGGATCCCCGGGACGAGGTCATTGCCCAGCTCGAAAGAAGGCTGGCCCAAATGGAGGACAGGCAATCGGCAAACATCCCCACGGCTGGCGCCTCCAACGATCCTGGCCTCAACGCTCTCATGAACAAGGTCAGCGCCCTTGAGAGGGAGTTGGCCGAAGGGCGAGGTGACCCCGTCATCCAGGTCAGGACCAGGACCCCTTTCACCAACAGGGTGCTCTCGTCCCCCATCCCGGAGAAGTACAGGGGAAATGCCATCAAGTCCTACGATGGCCGATCAGACCCTCATGAGCATTTCAGCCGCTATCAGAACAACATGCTGATGGTGAATGCGTCGGATGAATATCTCTGTCGTTGGTTCCTCTCCACTCTTGAGGGCCGGCGTACGAGTTGTTCAACGCGCTTCCCGAAAGAAGTATTGACTCATGGCAGGACCTTGCACAGCGCTTCCTCACCCACTTTGCCGGGATGAAGCGTGCGAAAAAGTATTTCACCCATCTCCTCTCCGTCAAGCAGCAACATGACGAACCCCTCCGGTCATTCATTGATCGGTGGACGAGGGAGACCGAAGAGGTCGAGGGGGCCGATGAGCGCTCCCTTCTCGTCCTACACAGGGACGCCCTCGTCATCCGGTGTGAGATCGGTGACTCCATCATCCACCGCACTTACATCGATACAGGGAGCTCCGTCAACGTGATGTACCTGGACACCTTCAGGCAGCTAAAGCTGGACAGGACTCTGCTGAAGCCGATCAAGACACCGTTGTCCGGCTTCACCGGGGACTCTATCGACGCTGAAGGCACGATAGTCCTCCCCGTGGAGGTCGGCGACGGCTCCCACCGCGCCAAAATTGACATGGAGTTCATGGTGGTCAACCTTTAGTGCGCCCACAACCTGATTTGCGGGCGGCCAGCACTGGAGGACCTGGAGGCCATCATCTCCATGAAACACTTATGCCTGAAGTTCCCCACCAACGGCGGCATCGACTACGCCAGAGGAAACCAAAGGATAGCCAGGGCATGCTACCTCAAGCTAACGAGGCCGGCCGAGAGGGAAGGGCAGAGAAAGACACCATTACGGCAGCCGTTGCCAAGGACGAGGAAAGACCGCATGCCGAACCGGCCGAGGAGGTCGAGGAGGTCCTCCTGGATACCTCCCGGCCGGAGCGGGTCCTCAAAATCGGAAGCAACTCCCGCAGGACCAGCGGGACGCCATCCTCTTCGTCCTACGGTCATACGCCGTCATCTTCACGTGGGGCCCGGACGACATGCCAAGCATCAGCCGGCAGGTGATCACCCATCGGCTGACCGTCGATCCAGCCTCCGCGTCTGTCAAGCAGAAGCGGCGCTACTTATCCACCGATAGGCGGGACTTTGTCAAAGGGAAGGTCACCATGCTCCTCTCAATCAACCACATCAAGGAGGTGAAGTACCCGACGTGGCTAGCCAACGTCGTCCTCGCCCAAAACCGCTGACATTCAGAATGTGTGTTGATTACACTGACCTGAACAAGGCGTGCCCCATGGACCCGTTCCCTCTCCCCAACATTGATTAGTTGGCGGACGAGACGGTGGGATGCGAGTTGATGTCGTTCCTTGATGCCTTCAGACGGTACCACCAGATTTTCATGCATGAAGATGACGCTGAGAAGACGACTTTCATGACCCTGGAGGGAATTTTTTGCTACCTCGTCATGGCCTTCGGGCTCAAAAACTCCGGCGTCACCTCTACCAGGATGGTGGCCAAGATCTTTAGAGCAGTCCTCGGCCGGACGATGGAGGCATACGTCGATGACATGATCGTCAAGAGCAAGCGAGCCACCACATATGCTGACGACCTCCGGGAAATTTTTGAAATCATGAAGGAGTTCAAGCTCTGCCTCAATCCCAAGAAGTGCGCCTTTGGCGTCCACGGTGGTAAGTTCCTCGGATACATGGTCAGCCGGAGAGGCATCGAAATAAATCCAGAGAAGATACAGGCTATCATCAACTGGAGCCGCCCCGCAACGTCAAAGAGGTACAACGGCTGACAGGGCGACTGGCGGCCCTGAGCCGTTTCCTCTCCAAGTCAGCCGAGAGGTCACTCCCTTTCTTCGAGATCATGCGCAAAGCAAACAGCTTCAAATGGACGACGGAGTGCCAGGAAGCATTTGAAGAGCTGAAGAGGTACCTTTCGTCCCCACCAGTGCTCTCCAAGCCCAAAACCGGCGAAACACTCTTCTTGTACTTGGGGGTGAGCACGTCGGCCATCAGCTCCGTGCTCATCCGTGAGGACGAAGGGGTGCAGAAGGCCATTTTTACATCAGCAAGACACTTAGGGAGGCCGAGCTCAGGTACTCCCCCGTTGAGAAGACGGTGCTAGCCATCGTCCATACGGTGAAAAAGCTGGGGCATTACTTCCAGGCCCATGCCGTCCACGTACTGACCCAGCAGCCCCTTGGCGCACTCATGAGG